AAGATCAAGCACTTGTAAGATTTTATTTTAATCAAACTTCTGTAAGAGTATTCATTCCTAAAAATTCTATCAAAATCACGATATAAAGTTTCGTAAATTTGCATCACAGTTATTCTTTATCAAGCTGAGGATCTAAGTGGCTGTGCGTAAAACGTTTGTATAATTGGACGGAGCAAAGTGTGAAATTGTCGGCGATAATTTAAACGGATGAGAAGCCGTAACGCGTTAAGCAGTAAAACACTGAAATTCCACGCCTCGAAAAGAAACATGTGTTATCTCAGTCGAACTAATCTCGCACAGTTACGAAACGTATTTAAAAACATCGATGGTATCTCAGCGTCTAAATGTTAGTATAACTGTTTTTTTTTTTTCAAGAAATTTAAGATAATAAGCCTATATATCTTTAAATTTCGTAAACTTTAAAAGAGTATGATTCATCTATCTCTTCTTAAGATCTTTAAAATTTCTTAAAAATACTCGAAAAAATTGAGACAATAACTTTTTATTAACAATTATTTAACTTATAATTATTTAATATATTTTTATTTAAATTTTTATTTTCAATAAAAATTAAATGAAGCCTTCATCGTTATTATTTCCCTTTTTCGCGTAATGTATGCAAAAAAGAAAGAAAAATAAATCTAAGCTGGAAGTACAAGAGACAGATTTTCCGTAGAAGCGAAGGGAGGTAGTTAAAGACGGGAAGAGCAATAAGAAACATAGCAGACCCGCATGTGACATTCGAGACACTTTTTCCCTTTCTCCGGCTATCTCCTGTCGTCCTCTCGATGCCCTCTCGAAAGGCTTCAGTTGGTAAGAAGGAGGAAGAGAAAGAGATTGAATCGTCTCCTCCTGGCCAGCTGGTACCACTTCCCTCCGTCTTTAATCTCTCCCCGCCTGTCTCGACACGAGGACGAGCTCGATGAGAGACACCGCTACCCTCCTTCCCTACCTTCCTCTTTCTCTTCGTCGCTTTCGTACCAGAGAATCGTGGCGTATTGTAGACTTTTTGAAAGAGCACAAAGGAATGCTCTCTCTCTCTCTCTCTCTCTTCGCGAACCATTTTGAAATGGCCTAAGAGAACCACGAAAAAAAAACGCGTGTTCATTCACGCGGAAAAGATCAGCGATATTAACTGCTTTAAACAAACATTCCCGTGTACATCAATTTTATCGTAAAATATTGCTAGATTTTTAGAAATTGTATCGCGTCACGCATGTAGATAATAGGCGTAAAATTGCTTGATGTTTTAAATAATAGAAGACTGTTATTTAAACATCGACCAATTAAAACAGTTTACCGCGACGTACAAGAGATTCGCTCTGTCGAGTATTCAGTAGACTAATTTCCCATAACACTCTGTCGTCGGTACTTAAACCGCTTGTTTAGGTAGGCGGTGAAGGTAAGTAAACTAAAGGGAACATGCGACGGTGCATGAACATGGAGATACAAAGATCAAAGACGAAAAGGCCTTCTGTTCTGCAAACGCGGAAGAACGTATACATCACTTATTATCATAATAAATCAAAGCGTGGGTAACTGACGCGCATATATCGATTCTGAACAATCTTGGAATATGAAGAAGACATTAATGGATTTGCATAGGTGCGTTTTTTCGAGTGTGAAAAACGACGGCTGATGCACGTAGAAAAAAAAGAGATACGGTTTAAACGCGACTACGCAAAGGCAAACTTCGGGCAACCCGCCTGGGAACGCATATATGCAGGGATGTATTATTGTAAGCGGTACTTTTCATACCAGCAAAGAATTATGTAAAACCGCACAGTATTGGCAAAACCCACATATTTACTTTCTGATAATATCAGATGCGTAACACGTGTAATGTCGCAAAGATTTGTGCGAAAACAAATATTGCTGATATATCGTAGAAGAATTCTTTGACAGATCACACATTCGATTCAAGAGAGAATAATTGAAATAACAATCTATAAGAAAGACTGTTTCCGGATTTTTCTCCCGTTTTGAAACTTTAACGCATGTAGGTATAGCTAAATATTAAAAAGATGTCTTTCTCAAAATGAAAGGAAATGCCGACTACGTTAATTGGTTTGCGACGGAGTCGCCTGTGACGGCAACAGGCCATTAGATGTGTTTTTCTAGGAGCTACCACTTCACGTAGAGATAATATTTTGACGATGCGTAGACCGGTGTGCGCACGCGCGTGTGCATGTGTGTATGAACCGCGTACGTTAGTTGGCGTTTAGGCCACCTTATGCAAACACGAATTTTCGATGGTCAAGTCGAAGCAATAACACTTTCGTGCGCAAACAACGCGGAAGTCCCGGGCGGGGTTACCGAAGTTTGCCTTCGCGTAGTCGCATTTAAACGACTACTTTTTTTTCTACGTGCATCAACCGTCGCTTTCCACACTCGAAAAACGCACCTATGCAAATCCATTAACGTCTCTTCATACTCCGAGATTGTCCGGAATCGATATACGCGCGTTCGATTCAAGGGAAAAGAAAATAAAAGCACGCTCGAGGAGTTCCAGATTCAAATTTACGGTAAACTCGAGTTGAAATGAAAAATCGGCTATATTATGTCAGTACTGAGCGAACATGTGAAATATTATTATTAACGCACTAACAGAAATATATAAATATATATCGAAATCGTTGATATAAGTTATGTTCAGAAAACAATTAAAGAAGAAACGATATTAGTTTTTTGATCATTTTGCCGGCATGTTTTTATTAATATAATTTAAAATATATTCATTTATTAAATCTTAGTTGTGTGAAACGTGATAATATTGTTAAAGTTTCTAATTATTAGTACAATCAAGTTTAATCGCATAAGAATTCTTCGGACGTATGCTGTATTTTCTCAATAGTATTCTTGGAATGTCGTTTTCTCTCATAACTTACAAGCATTAGGATAATTAATGTTGAAGGGCTCAACAGGTTGATCCTACATCTTTCACATCAGTATGCTCCTCTCGTTTATTAAAATTTACATTTCTGCTTGCTTAAAGTTTTTAGACTTTATTCATTCAATTTACGCGTCTATGTATTATGCAAATATTTATGAATTAACGCATTTCTATTTCTTTTTTGCTAAGAATCTTGCTTCATGCTCACTCCGGTGAAAGGCGGTTACAGATAGCGCGATTATTATTACTTTGCAAGTAGGCGCATTTATATTTCCTTCGCCAATAGCGAGGTAATGATCGACGATTTATGTTTCCGCATCGGACGATTTGCTGAAATAGTATATAACTATGGATCATTCTTATTAATTGGCGTGATTCTTTAGTTGAATACGCCACATTTTGATATACTCGTATTAAATTTAATTATAATTTGAAGTTTTTTTTATTTTTACGTCAAACAGTCGGTTCTGCAAAAAATTATTTAATCTAACATTTTAAAAGTAATGATGAATAATCTACTTAAAACGCAAATTATAAAATGCTGTTCCGTGCATTAATGAATATTATAAATATATGTTTAGAATATGCAATTCAAATCTGAAAATTAAGTTTTTATTTCGTAGTTAAATTCCATTTTAAAATAAATTTTGCTAAATTACTTTGTTAAACTATCATTTGCTGAATTTATAGAAAAAACAATTAAAAACATTTTATATTTATTGGTTTATATTTTTATATCTGTCGAATTAAATTTTAATAATATTCGATTAATAATATACTTATTACGCTGTTTATACTTAAAAAAATTTTTTTAGCATAAACAACGTATTAAGTATAGTTTGGTACAAAAATAGTGCATCATCCTTCATCTGTATAAAAGAAAATTTACTGTATAGTGCAATGTCTGTTATATCCGGCATCTAATATGAGAAATCGTTATATATATATATAGTAATATGGGGTCTATAAAGTATCGGACAGTAATATCGGAAACTGAAACGATTTCGCTCCTGCAGGAGGTGAAGACTAGCCATAAAGTGGAAATCTCTCTCGCATCCGCATCTACACTTTATCTCGTTCGTATCCTACATTTCGCGCGCTAATAAGATTATCCACGCAATTGTCTCGCATGGGAAGGAACAGCACTGTCGCAACCTGTTCTCGGAACAATTATCCGATCTCGGGCACGTCCGGTGATCCGATAAGCCGCGAAACGTAAGGACACCCGGCGTATCGCCATCCGGGCAAATAAATATCGCTGCCGAAGACAGGCTTTATATTCGACGTCGAGGTTATCCGGCGCCAGACACGTATCTCTTTTCTTCGTATAGACGTCCGGGTCTCCATTACCGATCCGCTATTCGGCTGTACGTCAGATAATACTCGATATTCGTTCAACGTATTCGATTCTATACTCGGTAGTGTGCACTGTATATGTATACACGTTCACGACGAACAATGCGTACAATGGCAGTTAGATACCTTTACGAACGTACGAGGTGAAACATTGACGATTCCAAATCGGAGATTTGTGGTAGACTGTCTGGACAGATCCGACAGACAGATAGATAGATTCCTGGCGGGAGAAAGTATTAAATACTTCTTCCTCGTGAAATTTATATATAATACTATCGAGATAGTCGCTGTTCGTACTTCGATGTTTGGAATCACATTAAACTCAATATTCAGCTCGAGAAATTTAAATCGATTCGCTTACTTTCTTTCTTTCAAACAAGAAATCCTCGTCAAGTCCGATTTGAGTTTGATGAAATTTGATAGATATGTAAAATAAATGATACAATAATTTCACAAGCAATTTTTTGTTTCTACTGATCGCATTTAAAAATTCAACACACTTTAACAAATTAACGCATCTTAACGCCGTTTAAAAGTATAAAATATTTTAAGATATCTTTTCTTATTTTTTATATTCTTTTTACGTAGTTTCGATTTTACAATTGTTTTGCTTTTAAATAATTTTGCTATTTTTAACCTTATTTGTTTAATTATTCTTAATGTTTAAACTATTCTCTCGGAGAATTTATAAGAAATTTTAATATATTTAGTTGATCGAATAAATTATTTGAAGGTTGACAATAGTACTCACTTTCGGCCACTGTCGAGAAATCTGTCGAACTCCACCGACATCTTGCAACAAAGGGCACGCCGATTGTGCGAGGATGAACATTTAGTGTTGATCATGTGGCCGTCTGAAAGCAAAGGAAGGGCGCTGAATGTAGGGTGGGCGTGCAATTAATTAAGAGGTTAATAATCATCCTCGTGGGCCGCCGCTACGGCGGTCTAATTAATTTCGGGCTGATGGTTCTCGCTTCTTCAGGAGCGAAAAACCATCCTTTCCAAAAGAGGATATCTCGCGATCGATGATACACGTATACACGTATATCCCTTTTACCAAAACTATAAAACCGGAAGTAATTATTAATCGTAGTCGAAGAATTATTTTAAATTAAACTATACGTAAAAGGAAAGAAAAATCCGAAGCGAAAATTACCAAAGGATCGTTTCTATATATTAAAGTGCCCGCACAGCTCCGTGTCTCGGTCATGACTGATTTGCTTCTAACAATAACAACGTTCAATAACAATGTTCAATAACAAGCCACACTGGCATACCAACACACGATTTCACAATTTCTTTTCGTATTTATAATTTACGACTTACAGAGAATTTAGGTCGTTCAGAGCGCCCTAGCATCGTAATAATTTCATATTTATAATTTATAATACAACTTATAGAGAATTTTGCGCATCAAGCCTTAAATTCTGTTTAAGATTTAAATTATAAATACAACATATATATACACAATATGTATAAAATAAATAATTATTAATCTTATCGTGATATAAATGCAAATATATATTTACGGAAAAGTAAATATGTTTCGAGATAATGGAGCCGTAAAACAGTTTACTTAACGCAAGTAAAAATGACACACACATCCTCTGCAACACTGAGGACAATACTATATTCACAATTTATTAAATTACATTTACATGCGTTGCGAATCTGCAGCTCACAATGAAGCTTAACTTCGAAAGAAGATGCGCAGGAATCACGATTCAGACGATTCGAGATTGCGAGTACTAACTATTCGCGAGAAGCTTTATAAACACTCGATGTTTCCGATCTTTCTCGATTATGGCCCGGCCACGTTTGCGCGTCGTTTTTATATCACTGTGCTTCTCGGAGCTCCTATGAATTGAGTTCCGAAAATTTCGTCAAGAAAATATTGATCTAGAACCCGCAGCGATTAGGAAAACAGAGAAAGTTGTTGTTCACTGCCGAAGGGCATTACTTGTTATTGTCGCGCGGTATTTGACTCTTCTGATTTTGAAGGTGACGCGGTGATTCGCACGACAATCGCGCATGCCGAATACATCGTGATTCCTTCATTGGTGCGCGTGCTCATGTGGCGCGTGAATACGAGTGCTATATTTCACCTAGCGAGCAAGTACCTCGACGCTTGATCGTAATCAATCGTTCGATACAGTTTGAAAGCTGTATTTTCAAACAAAATATATCTTCTTGTTCTTCGTGGGAGCAATTTAAATATAAAAAAAAACAAATACCGCGTAATTAAATGATCAATCAAATTAATTCTTATAAACCGGCATTTGCTATGATGCCATTACGTGAGAGAACTTCCGCGGGAGATTGTCGACATCCACACCTGGATAAATCGCGAAGGATGGATCGAGTTCGAGTCAGGTAGAAACGGTAATGAGAAATGGCCGATGCGGAGGTGCAAACCGGTGCGGAGCGCGTGGTGAGGTCAAATGTCGGACGGTGCCCGAGGGTTCGCGTGCTCATCCCTCCTCCTGCGACCTTCCGCACCCGATATTATCCTCCTCGGGACCCGCGCCGTCCACCCACGCTCCTGCCTCCGCTCGTGACTAATGCGTGGCCCGAGTTATGAGCGAGGCATGAAATAATATCGAGTTTATTATAGGAGCGCCTGCGCGCGCTGCAGCGATCCGCGCGATTTCATCTTTTTTTTTTTTACACGAGAGTGTACTTGGGTATCCCTACGACCGTCGTACACGCATTCGGCTTTCGTGTCATTACAAATGAATCCTCAATGCTATCTCATCTCGCGTGCGAAAGTCCCGTAATTGCGATGCTTTCCCTTCGCAATTTCGTTCGTTTCCTTTCTTATACTCGGACGCGCGAACGACAAGCGTTATTGTCCAAGACGAAATAACGCGAACGAGAGCTTGCTTTTCACCTCGTCCACGTGTGTATCATTCACGTTCCCGATGCATCTTCCCGTCCTCCCTTGGCCATTTCTCATCATCCGCTTTCTCCGCCTGCTCGTCATCTGCATCCGCGCCCGAGGGTACAATTGGGAATGCACTCCATAGTAGGTTGGCAATGATATCGCGCCGGTCAAAATTCGCCGTTGTTATTATATCAAGTATTATAAGCCTGTCACATTGTGATTGAAGCAAACGATAAGTGCGATTTTTCCGTACATTGTAAAAAGAATGCGAAAATTTGCTTCAGTAATAATAAAATCTTGATATAAATTTATTTTCGAATTGGCTATACTAAATTTCAGTAACTCTTAATTAAATTTTGTGTACGACAGAATTAAATATCAAAGAAAACAATTATATTTAACAATTAATAAACTTCAGCAAAAGTAAAAATATTTCTATTTTAATCGATTAAAATTAATTAAAAACAATTGCGTTTCATATTTTTTGATACAATCAATTAATTCTCGAAAGAGAAATATCAACAGAAATTAGAAATCTAAATCGCATTTAATTCAAGCGAATAATTTTATTTAACTTTACGTAATTAATTTTAATCTCTTTTAATAATCAAAACAAGTTAATTTGCTTAGTAATATGACAATTAAAATATCGCATATTTTTAGCCAAGAGCTTCGTGACGACAAAATTCTAAATTTCCACATATTAAAGAGGCTATTGACGCAATTGATTGATCTATCGATCATTGCAGGATCTCGTGCAACGTTCTTGCGTGCGGAGTTGCGCAAACCGGTCGACCTAACACTAATGTATGTAGAATACTGCTGTGGAACCTATCGAACAACTCGCACACGTGCCCTCCTGCCTCTTTCGACACATCGATTTCTCTTTATTGGACACCCGGTGTCTCGATCAGTAAGTAATTATCCAATACCAACGTGTTAACGTACTCACGCCGCGATATTAATGAAACGATAACATTCCCTTAAAGAACATCTTTAAGCGAGAACAAGATCGACGTAGATAACGTGAAATAATTTTATATCTTTTTTTCCTCGTTTCAAAATTACATACAATAATTTTATTTAACTTTATATTAATTAATTTCACTCTATTTTAATAATCAAAACAAGTCAATCTGCTTAATAATAACAATTATAAATATCGTATATTTATACCAAGAACTTGTGACAACAAAATTCTAAATTTCCATATTACTTGTTATTTCTACGTTATAATTTATTACATATATTACACACACCCAAAGATAAATCCGTCGCAAAGACAAAAGTAAAATCGAAGCTTTGTTACATAATATATTACATTAATTCGATTGAAATATTTTAATGAATTTATGAAGAGATAAAATACGCATTAGCAAACTTATTAAATCTGGAAATTTTATCAAAATTTATGAAATTAATTTAGCTTATCTACTTTGATTAAAAATTTACGATAAGTCGCGTCTCATAATAATAGATAATGAAATAGTAAAGCAAATAAGGATCATATCACATCTTTTTATTTCAACGCCCTCAATTCGAAGATGCCTTAAGCAATTGCCCAAAAACTGCACCTTAATCCGACTCTCTGGACGGATGACCGAGACGCGGATATGACTAAACTTTCGAAATGATTGACGAGCAGCTCTGCTCCTACAAGCGAAGCACGAGACGAGCTCCTGCACATTTGCGCTCGTTTCGCCAGCAATTATCGCATAAATGAGGACGACCATTAAGGCCCGCCGTCGTAATTATCCGTGCCTTGTCTTACACAAGGAATATACGTGCTTCGCCTGGGTCTCTTTTTTAATAGAGCTATTTGTACGGAAAATGTTTACGCTCTCATACATCGACAGGTGTTCTCACGACCTCGAGATGGTCGACGTGACAACATTCGTTGTCATTACTGCTCATGTAAATTTATTTTCTTTGTAAAACTGCAATCGGTGACGCAGTATAAATGCATGATATATGAAAATACCCGAAACTACCCTATATTCATATTGTCGCAGTCATGTTGCAAACTGAGCACGGGAGAAAAATCGATAAATTCTGTGCGATGAAAAAATAAAGGCGATATCGTCTCTGGATAGTAATAAATAAACAAGAGAATGTGTGTTTATATCAAGTTGAACGATCAATTATGTAATAATAGGTCTGTTCGCGTTGCTTGCAATTTTTGCACTCAAGAGTCTTCGCTTTCTCTCTTTAACGCCCGAATATATAGGTATTCATCTGATTTTTCTTAAAATTTTTGGAAATTTCAAGCAACGTGAACAAGTCAAATATTATTATTATATAATTGAAAGATACGTATGATCAATTATTCGATGTTACTATCAGATCAAACATATTTTTGCTTTAAAATAAAAATTTTATCATGCGTTCTTCTTAATAAAACAACACATAATTAAATGACAGACACAAATAATTAGACGATTAGAAAGTTTTTGACGCAAGTATTTATAGTTAGTAAGAAATTATTAATAAGTACTCACTGGTTTGATTTTGGAAATAAGGATCGTCTCTGTCGGTGAAGAACCAGGTCTGCAAAGAGAAATAAAAAAAATCATTATATTTTGATTATACATACGCGACGCCCTTTCGATTATACCCGATGCGGCGCAATAATCACGCTACGGCACGTACGCATTTGATTGTTTATCGCAGACCGTCCAGCCAAACAACACGCATCACGTATCGATCATAAATTTCAATCCCTTTCTTATCCCTTCGAAACGCTTCGATCGCTCCATCCGCGTCAGTTGTATGCAATAAATCACGCAACCTTGAAGCACTTTTACGCCACTACGATACACTTCTCTCATTTGTATTCGAGATAACGAAATCGAAACGAGTTTCGAAAACAGAGACAAGAGATAAAAACGAGTATTCGTTTTAAAAAAAATGTCATATGTAAATTATAAACATACGCGCAATATCACGAGAATGATATTTCTGTCATTTAGAAGTTACAAGAAAGGGCTTTTGTAATTCTAACTCGCGCAGTCATGGAATATTATTTCCACTATAAAATATTACTTGAAAAAGTTAAAAATATAGTTATCAATGTATTCGAGTTGCAGACTATAAATAAAACGCGTTATAAACTAAAATGTCTTTGAAAGAAGAGAAATGTATAAATCTTTTTTACTCTATATCCGCTTTGTTCAAAGTCTAGTCGTTCTGTAAAAATCCCCGGAGACATGAAACTGTGATAAAGTGGGCATACTTTCAATTAGGGACTATTCAAGTTTCTCGTGTATTTCGTCGCACTGGAAAATTTATCTCAGAGCACCGCGTGCTGAGACTCTTCCATTTGTATCTGTCGCGTCGCACACCCTTCCGCGGCAGTTGCATCTGGGACTCGAACGTATCGCAGCATCGTTACGTTACGATCGGCGTACGCTGCACGTGTTAAAGTAGTCGCTTATTTTTAGTTCCCAAGAGTAGTTCCCTTCAGGAAGTGAACGAGAGCAAGAACGGCCGGAGGAGATGGTGCTCCAGACGTCAGAAGCATTGTCCCGATGATCTTCACGCAACGATATATCGCGTCGGTCTCGTAAGCCATCGGGAGAACCGAAGAGGAAGAGGAAGAAAATTTTAGAAAACGCGATGTTTGGCTGCGTAATTTTACATTTCGCAACTTCCTCTGCTAAAATGATACATTAATGAAATTCCGCGAGCGTAGGCCTGTTAGAAACATTCGATTGCAACTAAAGCACGACATTTCTATAATGTCTCCATAAATTTTATATCGGCCGATATTAGCTCATTGAATGCACGTTGCACACGCCAATGTTATATTTCGTGTTACATTTCATTAATTAAAATAGAATTATATATAAATCGCGTATTTTGAATAGACAGTATGCAATGCATCACATAAATAATGCGTTATTTAATCAATGGTACATAAATAATGCGTGATATTTAATGAATGATACAGTTTCCGCGAGCATATTTAATCGGCTGCGTGTGTATCGGAAATTATGTAAGCTTTAAAAACGGAACTGAAAGTAAACTGCAGTAGTTGCCTCAATAAGTCCGCCGGCATATCTCGGATGTGGCCATAACGGATATCCGTGGCGGGACACAACGTGACAAACGTAAAAATAGCACGTGTAAAAAGTTACACTACAGAAAAATACAATTGCAACACGTTTATCTGAGGCATGCGGATAGAGAAAAAGAGAGAGAGACCGGAGAACTCTCGTCGGCGTTCCCAGAAAGAACATGAATATCCGGCAACGAATGTACGTCGTGTACAAAAATAAGAGACGGGTGTATCGCGATGACGTCAGTGGCACCGGCGTCGCGTTACATCGACATAATTGCATTAATCCCGCACGTACGTCGTACTTAAAAGAGCCGTCGTTAAGCTGATCTTCGAGCTTTTCCCGGGAATTCGTTGAGCTGGCCTGAGTGTTGGTTATTTCGGCTCGTGTAAGCCGTATCGCGATATAAAAACGTTTGTGAATGTATCAAGAGCGTAGAATTCATATTAAAAGACTCGCTCGTTATGTCTAATTAGGCGAGACGAATTTGTCCTAAAGCGTGGAAGGAAATTTAACGTTCTACCTACGCGAAACAAACATTGCCTCCTACTAATTTCCGGAGCAAATAGAAGTTATAAAGATATATTACGAATATATTTACAAATTTCTATACGAGTGTTCTACAACTTCAAAAATTATTAAAAAATAAATTTAACAATTAAGATAAATAATAGCTTGATCAATATAACAATGATGAAAACGAAATGATACAACTTCTGGCTCAATACAAGACGAAAATGTTTCATGAAGTTTAATAAAAAAATTGAATAAATCAGATACGTCATTTATGAGTTACATAATAAAATTGTTCCTAAACGCGGCAAATAAATAAATAAAAAATAAATAAAAATTAAATTCGATATAACATTCATCCAACGCTATAAAGGAATAAATATATTTTTTCATTTTCAACGTCAAATCTTTCAAAATTTCAATCTTTTTGTCTCTAATCCTAATCTAATTTTCGACAGAATTTCTACATAATCGTCAATCAAGGAGAATTGGATAAATATCATTCGGCGATGGCACGTTGATTACATCGCATTGCGAATCAATTGAAAATCGGAACCCTACCGACTCAGCGTATATAAAAGCAATGGAAATTAAGAGGAAATAATTCGCCGAAGCGCAGTGAGCTCTCATCGACGTGCCGCGCGAAATTGCATCGGACCTTTTAAGACTTTCTTAAATAACCAAAGTAATCGACCAATTATCCGAAGCCAGTTCCGACCGGTGCGGGTCGGCCTTCGTCGATTGGGGGATTGCAGTATCGGCCGAGTCATTCTAGGTAACGACACCAGACTTTGACCCGCGATCGACCCTCGAGATCTCGAGGGGTTCTTTTTATGAATCACGAAAATTTGTACCTATAACCACGTGTGTCCACACCTCCGCTTAATGACACGATAATCGAACGGCATGACTATCCAATTTGAAGAAGGGCGCAAGAAGAGATTTCGTCGAATTTTCGGTACCAATAACAGCTTGATACAAAGTTTGTTCAAAAAAAGTTTAGAAAAAAAGTATTGCTATTAAGTATAAAATTATCGAAATTTAATTGACAAGATTTCAAACAAAATGCTTATTATTGAACTATTCTTTTGGATTACAATTAAATACATACATGTAACAAAAGCCTTGTTCATTTCATCATGATATATATTTATCTTTTATTGTATTTTAACAGAATTCTCTAATTTGACATTTCATTGGTAAAATATTTAATATAAATATTTAAAAATCATGACAAATAATTGTTAGAATTACTTTTGATATTTTACCCAAGAAAATATTGACAAAACTCAAAAACTCGAATAAATTATTAGAATTAGAATTAAAAATGTTATGATATTGAGACAGTATAAAAATATTTACATCAGATACATTACGCGTTCACACGTTGATCTTTACTACCATTATAACAATTGAGATTTTGCAACAAGACATAAATCTCGATTGTTTTCGTGATTTCAAGGCGGATGTCTGAAGAACAACTTAAACGAACGGATATTAACTACTTGATCCTATTATCACGTAAAGTACCGAGCAACATAAGAATGAGAAAAGAAGTAGGTAGGTGGCGAGGTGTATAAATGTGGCCATTAAAGATCATTAACAGCGTCGTAAGGTGGTGGCCGAGGGAAGGCGAACATGGGGACTGTGCCAACAATAAATGTGCAATCAATGTTCCTCCTCAATGGAGCGCATTATTAAAATGCGTTACCTGTGATATATACGACGTATTAATAATCAAAACATTGCGACCTATTGCTCACCTCTGTCCAATTTAGGAGAGAAACTTAACACCTTAATAGTGAGCTGCTACAAGCAATACTTTAGACTTGTTCGTCTTGTTTAAAACCCATAAAAGCTTATTTTAAGACTTCAAAAAAGAGTCTTTATATATTTACATATATAAAGACTATATACAAAACGACAATAAAATTGAACTCTAATTGAAAATACAATACCATAAGAAATTAATAAATATATTAAAAATTATATAAATAATTTTTATTTAACTCTAATTTTCTCTTTACGAGGACTTTTCTTTTTACGTGCATTATGAATAACGTTAACATTAATTGCAATCAATTATACGATAATTGCAAGTGCAAATATGCAAAATAATTCTCTATATAAAATTTGTTTAAATATAACTTCTGCATTAATTCTCTAAAAAAACTTGTTTAAATTTAATTTTATTAAAAAGTGAACATATGTACAGTTTACATTTCAATTGGAGTTTAATGCACTATTTCTTTCTTTTATGATATCAATTTTCAAAGTTTATAACATGTACATTTCTGCTAAGACTATTTTGCGAATATCTAAAGAAATCGATCTACATTTCCAAAACTTATTGCTTCGCAAATAATTTTAAAACCTTAGACAGGTTTCTACCCAAGTCTATTAGTCTCACTGCGATAAATCACCTACCATAAATTGGATCGTGAATTTCTAATCTCGCAAGGAAAGGAAATAAGTCTTCGCTATATTATTCTATCTTCTATATTAATTACATGTATTTTTTTATTCGGCCAAATTCTTTATACCGGATATTTTTGTTTCACTGTTTAAATTCGCGCGTAAAATTTATAAATTATATATATGTAAATAAATCAACTCTTTTTTACAAGTGTAGCATTAAATTAATTGTGCGATTAAACTGTGAATATTTAAAACAAGTGAATATTTAAATCAATATACTCCTCTTTACATAAAAATATAAAAAAGTTCCTTTATGCAATTATGATGCCGTTTTTACACACGATATTATGTACTGACTGAATGCACCGGATTTCTGCAGCAATACGTGAGAATCAATAGCAACCCCAATCTCACACACGCAAATAAAAGAATGATCGCTTCAGCCAACTTGCGGGATCGTGGCGCATCGTTTAATTATCGAGAAAGAAACGACGAAAAAGGTGAGTTCGTTGAGAGTGCTCGTGGGTGGACTAAGTCGGCTAACGCGGAGGTCGTCAGGGTCGGAGGTAAATCGTGAGATCTTCCCACGAACCACAAACCACCGTGCGCAGCCGGACACAGACTTTTATTATTCTCATCGCACTTTTTCTCGCTCGCGTCGCGGAAAATGCGTGCCGACGCGAGTCACAGGCAATGCGAGTGTACATACGCGTGGAAAAAGCGTGAGATCGACGGGAGCAAAGAATAATCAGGATACGAAGCAAATTAAGACACCGCGGCGCGTCATGAGAATTACGAATGTCTAAATTGCGCGGATACACAATTTATAAATGATCTTATAAATCTTTATTTCTCGAAATCATCGACGTATGAATTTTCTTATCAATTCTTAATTCAACTTATTTGAAAATCTGATTATTCTGACAGGAATATTCGGAGTTTTGTCACTACACAAATCTGTGTTCTTTATATTCATTATGTATTAAATTTTAACACATGACAGTCATAAATAGGAACTGAAAGATTTAAAAACGAATATAATTAATGAATATTTCAAATAACATTTATTTATTTTATATTAACGTGTTCTAATTTCTTTATAGCTTGAGGCTTTGCTAATTACTTGGATATAGAAATATTGGTAAGACATTTTCATGTATTAATTGTGACTAATTATAAATATATTAAATATATAAATTAATCAGATTAAATTAATAAAATGGAGACTTTTATAAGATTTATATTATAAAAAGAGCCGCAAAAATGACTAATCATATTTAAGATCATATTTAAGATTCAACAAAGAATTTTTATATTCAATTGCCAATATCAGAAATTAAATAAATAAATACGCGGATATGAAATAAAAAATTAAATAATTAAAATCAAAGCAAGAATAATAAACAATATTAATGAAATAATATATAACAAAATTATATAACAAAATTAATGAGATAATATATTTGCATGACTCAATTCGCTAAAGTTTTGTTCCCTGAAGAGCGTAAAGGAAATCAACCGAGATTACAGGAAACGCGAGAACTCGTACAAATCTAGATAGTAATTACCTGGAGGAACGGTATATTAACCCGGCGAAGAGTGCAGAAGGACGCGGAAGCCGCTGAGATGCACGAGTATTTTGTTTCTTTGTCCGACGCAAGAATCATACCGGCTTATGAGAACTTCTCAAGGTTTCTTCATTAATATTAATTATCAAAAAAATTCTTGTTCGTTACTTTGCCAATTCTTACTAGTACTAGAAAACTAGTACTCGATTCTTTTCGATATCAATAAATGTGTAAAAATAGGAATATATCATCACGTGTGTACATACACGCAATTATTTAATTTAAATCTAAGTACGAGAACATGCGAATGTGTAATTTACATCAGTGAAGATAGCGTGCGCATTAATTGCCATGTGCATTAAGAAAAAAGATTTCCCAAAGGATTTTAATCTATTGTGGTTAAAAGAAGAGAAACTCAATCAATTTAATTCTGCGGCGATAAATATCGCGTAAATCTTATTCGGGACACGGAACATCGCCTGTTGTTTTCGCAGGGCATGGACGGTACCGGCGATATTTACGAAAAGGCAAATGAGAAATTGTAGGGAAGGAAGAGTGGAACGAATCTTATTCCCACGGCGCGAGAAATCGTGAATTCACGCTGATCATCGGCGACACGGTAAATACGCGCGAATACGCTTCGATACCCTTGGATAAGACCCAACGAGTCGTGTACAAAGTGTGGTCTATTCCGCTCCACAAGAAAGCGTGTAGATGAATCTCGCGCGATGATGGAGACGTCGCGATAAAACTATGCGTGCATTTATCACACTTTAACACGATTAATTCTTATGGCTGTTATTCGAGAGATTCATATCTGTTTTCTTCACGAATAATAACGGACGAATCAAATGATAACGAGTAATATTCCACGAAAATAATTTTTACGAATAAAACGAACGAATCGAATATAATCTTTAATAAAAAGAATTTTTAAAAATTCCACGATATTTTTATTTTTCATCATAAACAATATAATATCTGCATAAAAACCCGTTATAAACTCGTAAGAAACTCTTCGTCTCTTCAAAATAAAGAAGGAAATTTTAATGTGAGGTGCTAATTTGCGTGTGTGAAGTTAGCACCCTATAGAGTTCCCTATATAGTTTATCGCCGTTTATAGCCGCTCAGAACTATTCGATCATGAATTTTAACAAGAAATTAGCACCCCCATTTTTAAAAATTTAAATTAAAAATAGTTTGTAAGCAGAACTCTTGTTATAAACTATAGAGAACTCTTCGTCTCTTTAAAACGAAACGGGAATTCTAATCAAAACTATAGAATTTTAATGTTGGGGTTGCTAACTTCACACATGCGATATGCGATCACATATCAGAAAGTAATCGGCGATTATTGAATGATGTTCTCAGGAAGCTTCAGTATTTTCAGGTGGTCGCGCAATATTCGTAACGAGGCTGTCGCAAGGTCGGGGCGCAAGAAACGAGGCGATCGAGCGACGATAATGAATCCGGGATATCGGCATTTCACGGCGATCTGCACGGCGTGGCGGTAAAAGAGGCTCACCTGATTCCTGGCGAACTGGAACCACGTATCGACGATGGCCGGCAAGCGCGAGTGATGATAGTGCTTGGTGGTCTTCACGCTGATAAACACGTCGTCGAGGTTCGTCGTGAACGGTGCCATAGTCGCCGTCGCCACCGGCGGCGTCACCGGCAACTCCTCGCTGATTAACTTTCTCGACGCCGGCACCTCCACTATCACGCTTCGGCTATTCACTTCCGCCACGTTCATCTCGTCGACCCACTGCGACACACAATTACCAGAATATATTATTCAAACGAAGAGAAATTTTCGTGAGCTCCCTGCGGCGCGAGCTTTCCTCGGCGCTACAAGGGCGTTGAGAAAGTGTTGAAAAATATTCTTTTGGACAAGCGATTATTTTCGTGAGCGCTGTCGTTTAATATAAACAGGATATCTCTTCATGTTACCAGAGGAATTTATTGTAACATACCGAGATAGCTGTTATTAATTATAACAATAATTATGTTCCGCGTTAGCGCTTAATTTGTTGACTCATTCGGAAACGATTTTTATATTTTTAAATACCTTTACAAAGGTACCAAGAAAAATTATTTTTTTTTTTTATATGATTTGCTTATCCCTAATAACATTAAATATCCTTCATTCCTTTTAACTTTAATTCTAAACTCTAAAAATGCAATCTACTTAATATTAATTGAGGAATGTGATTTTGTTACTTTTGTTTACACTCCTCAGTTTATAAATTACGCACTTACTTTTAAATGTTAATTACTCAAAAACTATCAAATATTTTCGTGTACCATTATAAAAATGTTCCTTCCACATTCGCGCAGAGACAAATTTAAAGCTTCAAAAAACTAATTTGTCGCGCCAAGAGGAAATATACGGCGACGATGGCGGAACGTTTCAAGTGGCGTTACACGCTAACGTTATTAGTCAGATTCAAGTGATCTATCTCGTTCAACTTCGCCGGCGGGCGTCGCAGGACGCGCGCCGGCGACACGGATAACGATGATAACGATCGTTCGAATTACCTGGCGCGGTGCGACGGCCTGGTAGAGGAGAATCGTAGCGTAGGCGGTAGCGATGACGAGCGCTAACGCCTGCAGGCCGCGTCTCGTCGGCAGACCTCGTGGCATCATGCCCGCGCCGACGGCGAGCGGCGTACAAGCCTGGGGACTGCTAGCGCACTTGCAGGGCCACGCGCCTTGTTCGACCAACGCGAGATCCGCGCATCTATCCTTAGGGTTCATCGACGGCCGCGTCGCTGCGTCGTCGCCCTCATTTCGTTCCGCGAACGAAAACGCGCGGACCATAACACACACCGCGAAACACTCTCGCGTCCTTCCCAGCCGCAGCGCCGGCGATTCACACGCGCGGTCACGTGGTAACGAACCGCGCCAAACTTCCCCCGCGAACTTCACGTCGCGCTACGCGAGACACCCTTCCGCGTCCCACCCGCGAACCTCGCGTCGCTTCGCCGCGCGCCCCTTCGCTCCTTCTCTTCTCCTTGCGACAGTCAAATAAGGATACTCGAGCTCCTCGATCATCCGTCAATCGCACTCGCGAACTCGATCACTGATGCGTTTGCGTGGCACGTCATTTGGCACGAATTTGACATCAAATTCGCAATTGATTCGAAGCACGCGCGCGCGTTTCGCGCCCCGCGTCACTTTATCCGTGCGAGCGATCGAGCGGTCGAAACGGCGTGCGACGTGGGAACCGCGTCCAACCGCATCTCGTCGGCGGCGTTCCGATTATCGCGATGCGCTTCATCATTTCGGCGTTACGAGCCTCGTCGCGAGCGTCCGCAGTCCTAACAAGTTCTCTAATCCGTACAGAGTGCCGCGTTAAACGAGAGAAACATATCGATGTAACATCGCTTCGCGCACCGCGTATACGTCAGCCGCACGTTCGCGCACGTCACTTTTCCGGATATTTGTTGCGCCACTACTTCACGCCTCGTCCGACGTCGAATTGTTCGATCGTCGAGCTGTCAACCGGATTCCGAGAGAGAGAGAGAGAGAGAAGACAGCAGTCCGCGAGGCCGAGCGACGCGACGGCGGCGTGACACGAAACACAATCCGATTCGATACACAGCGCGAACGTCTACTGTTACCCGGCGCGCGACGGACCACCGACTGATCACATGAGCCGTTGCCGTGACTACGCTGTAAACATCGCCATAGCAGGCACGTCGCCGGCCGCCGCGCCGGCAGGAGGGGGGAGAAGTGGTGCCAACAGGCGTGCGGCTGCGGCCGCCCTTGGGTGAGGATAGATCGAGAAACGCGCACACTGCTTTTTCAAACGTCACGCGCAACTGACGAGGAGAAAACAGTGTACCGAAAAAAGTGTTTTTGGTATGCGAAATATTTCGAGCAACGCGCAAACACACAAGCACACATCCGATGAGTTGTATGTATAGATATCTGACATTATTTTACTACGAAACGTTAGGATATCTTTTCATGCTCGACGCTCATTTTTAGCGTCAAAACAGCTAGATCACGTGATCTGTCAAAATTGATGCTTGATATTCGATAGTTTTAATCACGTGATCTGTTTTTTGACGCTAAAAATGAGCGTCGAATGTCAGAATGAAATAGTATCTTTTTATTTGACCGAGACTTACATCGCAAAAGCAATTTTCGTGAATGAACATTCTTGGAAATTATGTTTTACACCTAAAAAGCAAAGAATAATTTTTGTTAAATATTAAATGTATAAAAAAGATATGAAACATATATCTTTTCACGTTGTATTCAGCCAAAGTGATAAATTTGCTCTAAAAGCAACACTTTTATGAATTTATATTTATTAAAAATTACATATTTTATTCGTTTACTTAATTATTGTATTTAAATAATAATTAGCATAATAATACTTGATAAAAATGCACATTAGCCTCTTAATTGTGTATTCTTTTTTAAAATAATTTTTCAAATATAAAAATAATATCAAATCCAATTCCGATAGAGTTAAGAACTATAATATTATGTAATTTATACTACCACGAATTTAATAAAGAGCTTTATTTTTTTATTAAAACCTTATAATATTTGCATTTTAGATTATCTATATATTGATCTCATTAAAAAAAGAAAAAAAGGATGCATAATATATACGTAAAAATAACGTAACGTAAAAAAATATATGGTCCAAGAAAATTGATCAATAATTTTTAATTTCTATTTTATTTATTAAAATCAGAAAAAAATCTATAATTAAATACGATCTTTCTCGACTTTACAGAAAATATATTTTGTGCAAACTTAATTTTCATAATTACTGATGTTACGAAGCAAAATTTTCTATTGTGTAAAGAAAATTTTATTATAAACAATGATATTATTCAGCTGATATATCTGATCTAATAATGTAAAAATACTAAAAATAGTACTCATAAATTTCATAATTCTTGTCCTCGGGAATATCTATTCGCACAAAAATTGTATAATTATATTATATATATTATATCCAAGCAGAACAAAAAGTTATTATGATATTAAAATGGATCTAAAATGAATAAAATATTATAATAAAATTAAGATTTATTAAAAGTGACTTTTTGATCAGTCACAATTCATTTTAACGTTACATATGTAAGTTACGTCATGACTTGATGTTCTGCTTGAATACAGTATAATATATAATTATATAAAATATTAAATAACTCATCTTTTCATAGTCATTTATGCACTTAACTTAATTTTTATAAATTTCTATTATTTTCCGACATTTTCAATTTATTTAGAAATTATACTTCGTAGCCATCAATGCCAATATGCCGAATAATTCTAATAATTATATTTAATAATTGTCTAATCTAATTAATTCAAATGTCGATCTATTGTAGATAGATACTGCAGAATGACAGTAGGTAATAAACCCTCGGTCGGGAATAATTGAGTAATTCTAATATGAGACTGATCGTCGGTAATATCGTGATTATGGGAACGCGCCTGCCATTTTGTTAGCCTTATAACGGAATATAAATTCAATGCATTTTATATTGATCAAAAATGTTTCGTTTTTAATAAAATGCGAAAATGCGTAGAACATTTTAATGCAGTTAATTAGAAAAAGATAGCATGTATGTATGTATGTACATATATGTATCTATACGGTCATACATACATCGATCCATGTGATCAACGAAAAAAAAAAAAGGAAAAAAAGTAAAGGATTTCGAACGATTCCAAGTACGCGGATATCAAGAAGTGATGTTTTCATAATATTAACATATACACACAATTACGGAAACAAGTTCGCAGTTATGCTAAATTCAGTAAAATCTAACACTACCATTTTTACTCGTAATTTTCAATGTCTTCTAAACAAAGCGTTTATAGACAAAAATTTTTTTCAAAAGAAAATTTTTTCTTGTTTCGAGATTCTAAATTTGTATTTTGAGTTAAAACAATTAATCCTGAAACACGTCCTATATATGTTAAATAAACCTATTGCGAGTTTTATACAATGTGCATTATATAATACATATGCATTATACTTTTCTTACCTTATCCCTTTATAAGAAAACACTTTGATATTTCAAGAACAATTTTCGAAATTAACAGTCGCGAAAAATATCGAAGCGATTCCAATGAAATTTGAATCTACAATAAGTCGCGATGTGCATTCAGCGACTGATTGTGACTTGAAGATATAGCGACTATTGCAAATTTCGAAATCGTCGATATACTTCAAAATATCATTAATTTAATTATTTTAAAATGAAGATCGAGAGAGCCACAATATTTTAAGTATAAATTCTTATTCCGTTGTCGCGAGTTTTTTTGTGGGAAATACGTTTTGTAATTTGTAGTTTAGAGTTCAGAAGTACTCGGCATAATTAAGTGAAAAGATTGCATAAGTATTTTTATTACAATACCTAATAATTAAAACAATATTTACATTTGTACACGATTCATTACACTCATCATATACGAAAAATTAATCATATGTCATATCAAGTTATAAGTACTTCAAAGCAATGCATACAGCTTTGAATTTCTTGTCGCATTACAGAAATTACAATTATTAGAAATGATTCACAGAATTGTCAAATTAAAATGTCATATAAGTATTTCAATTTCATAATTTTTTTTCTCTACCAATTGTCGATTTGAAAGAAAAGGATTATACAAAAATATTTTAGAACTGTTCAGAACTACGCACTTGCGAATGTCCGCTCGCATGAATCTCGTTAGTTTTCTTGCCCGTCCATTTAAGAAAAGACACTTCTGAAATTTATTGGCAAAGAAATATATATGTTACCATCAAAACTCATAATCGTTAAAACCCGATTTCACTAGATAGAACTAATTTTAAATTTAGTTGAAACGAGATCTATAATTGTATTGTTTCACATTTTTTCGATTTTACCTCTAATCAACCATTCTAGTTTTAATCAGCAAATTCGGATTTTAACGAATTATGGGTTTTGACGATGAATTTTGGAATTTCTTTAATAAGATTTTAAATAAATTATAGACGAGATTATATCCTGTCACAATAGCTGCCACACATTTCGTCAGTCAGTGACACATGCTTTGCTCGCGCGTAATTCATGATGCTTTTTGACGTAATAAAACTATGCTATTGTACAACTTAATCGCAGGCCCAAGTCGTAGACGCAATACCGACATCAAATCCTCTTGAGTCAACATTAAAAATGCCTCACCATCGATATTCTGCAATAACAAATAACAGCATAATAATATACCGTATAATAATTTAAGCTAATTATTAGTATGATTGTAATATGATTTCTTTGAAACTTACGTTCTGTCTAAAAACATTCCCAGCTTCTGCACAGTTAGGCATGCTTTGTATAAATTTAATCACTTCTTCATTAGACCATCGTCGCGGATTTGTGGTCTGCCTCGATACTACTCTATTTAAGGCATTGCTATGTTTCGCCCATATATGCGGTGCATTCGGCAATGGATTATATCCAGGATTATATACAGATTGATATAACTCTTTACGCAATTGCTTGACCGGCATATTTGAAGCATATGGGGCAGCACTCCAATGCAGATCGCCATATGCGACATTGGAAACGGAAAACAAAGACTCTTCTGAATTTTGATGTCTGAAAATATATTAATACGTATTAAAAATGTGTTTCATTATAATACTATATAAATATAGAAGTCCATTTTTTTACGACTTGACTAACAAACCTTTTTTTCGTTTTCTCGAAATCTCATCATCATCCGTTTGTCCATCGCTATGCAGATTCTTGAACTTATTGGATCTGAAACAAGAAAACGATGTGAATAAAAAAAACAGCAATTTCACTATTATTCACTATATTAATATTGTTATTTAGCTTCGACATACTTTTCTGAATTATTATCTGATCTATTTTCAGATTTGTCATTCTTATCCGACGAATCTCCATCTTCCTGTTTAATCTCTTTTTCAATCATTAATATTCCATCATCAGAAAACGCAAGTTTATCGGATTTTTCAGACTTTTCTATTTTTATTCTGTCAGTCTTCTCTAGTTTTATTTTTTCCTGTAGCTCTTCTTCGTAGTCATAGGATTCGTGAAAGTCGTGACTTTTTGTCAAATTGAGTCTATCAGGCATTTGTCCCGTTTTATTTAGATTTTGGGGAGAATACGGACAACCGGATGCTGAATTATGCGTTGCGAATTTAGGTCCTTTTATGTGTCCTATACCTCGGCAACCATATGTACCACATTCCGGTCGATCATTCAAATTATCGGCTGCTATGAAATAATGAAAATAAATCGATCATATTGCATGTGCAAATTAAAATATTCTGTAATATACAAAGTATATGTCAAATAGAAGTAGCTTACTAAGTGGTGGTTCTAATGGATGACCGGTTTTTGCACACCAACCCACAGGATGAATATCAGGTGAATCATCGTCAACCCAATAAGCATGATTATCGGGCCAACCATCGAACTTTATCTTCAATCTACGTTTAAAAAGAAATACATTATTATACCGCTATTAAGATACATAAAATATAAATAAAATATCAATCAATACGAACAGATGATCTTTTACATCCTCGACCGTTGCCACTCTAATTAATTGTGGCACCCGCTTATCCACTACTTCCAGTTTCATACCACGTTTGAACGCACACGGTGGACGTTGCTTGAATGCTCTAGCCGGAGCAGCCACTGAGCCGGTTTCTCTCAGATACGTATCCCAAGTGAAAGTTTTTTCCTTATAATCTAATCATAGATATTACAATTACGTTTGGAAAAATAAATAAAGTATAATGCGTTAATTTCAAATTTCTTACTATTTGGCGGCACCAAGACGCGTCCGTTGTGATGAGACCATCCGACAGGGTGAATATATGGTGAACTCGCGTCAGCCCAGTAATCGTACACCTCGTCCCAAGAATCGAAATGGACTAATATTCGAGAATCCAATAAGCCTGCTATGGTAGCGACGCAAAGTAATGAAGAATGTTTCCTATCCACTGCCTCCAATTTCATGCCCACCCGAAAGCCCGTAGGAAAGACAGATTGCAGTGCGCCTTTATTCGGGAATAGATTCTTCGCAGCTATAGGTGCTTTACAGAGTTTTAGATATGCATTCCAATTAAAGCTTCCGGATGTGTAACCCTTTGGTGGATTCAATTTCTTGCCGTTTTTCTCAGCCCAACCGGCGGGAAATATATTCATGCTATCTGCATTTATCCAGAAATCATAATTTTCCGGATAACCATCGAAATGTAGACGCATTCGATAACCTAAAAATAACGTCACACATTTTATGAATTTTATGTTATGATACTATATAGTACATACGCCGTTTTTAACTGCTGACTTACCTACAACCTCGGCAATGGTCAGAACACAATATCGAGAAGGATGTTCTGGATCTATGCCTTCTAATTTCATTCCAACTCTAAAATGATTTTTACTATAGGGAAAGGGATCCTTGAATAATTTAACAGGCGCCGCTTTTGCTTTACAATGCTCAAGATACTTTGGCCATGAAAAACCCAACTTTCCTCTTTGCCAAGGATACTGCACACATAAAAAGTTATCGTATTTTAATTTTTAACACATTAAATTTAATTAAGTTTAATAATTTGGTTAATAATTTAATTATTATATTCGATTTACCTTCGATTCTGACGAATCTCCTTGGATTTCGTCATCTATACCCGCCATTGCGTCTTTTTCCTCATCTATCTCCAATTTTATTTTATCATGTGGCTTCTCATCCGATCTTTCGTCCATCTCTTTCGACCACTGTGGTTCTTGTAATAATCTTTTGCGTTTCTTTTTCATGCGTACTTCTCTGTGTAAACATTAATGTAAATTAATATAAATATCTTATTTCTTAATTTTTATTATATATTAAAATGTATTAAACGTGTATATGATACACACTTTAGATCCTTGTCTTTTCGATTTGCAGGCTGCTTTTTAGCCTCTATTACTTCCGTGCAGGAAGGACTGCATGATATTGGACTTTCAAATTCAGCAGCCAATCCATAACATCCACAAGCTTCGCAATGATACATAGTATCTGCGCTTACTGATCTAGATTTTCTTTCCTCAGCTAAATTAAATATATTTAATTATAGTAACACGTAGACATTTACCTTCTATATGTTTATCAAGATGTACTATTTGTAAATTACCTTTTTTCTCTACACTAGTGTTGTTAACAATTCCTGAGCTGGTTTTTGAAGAATTTTGTGTTAAACACACATTTTCTTTGTCACCAATACCATCTTTGTTCTGTTTTTGACTCTCATCTTCATCTACTACTTCCATAATGCCGAATTCGTTCATACGAAACTAAAAAAATGTACAAAAAAAAATAATTGTTAATAAATTGTATATACACGCATGTATATACGTCCAAAAATACTTTAATATCATAAAACTGTTACTAAACTGCAACTAAAACTCTTATTGTTCACAATAATTCTAGACAATTCTATACAAACTTAGGTTAATTTATTGATTATCATATACAACTCTATTACCTGTAAATTACTTCCAGGCAAAGTACCAACACCATCCTTCCAGTCTAAAACTTTAGACGCATCAAAACTCGTATTGTTCTGATTCGAAGTATTCAACTGTTCCTTCGTCTCGTCACAATTGTTACTCTTTGCTTCACTCTTATTGTCTGGCATTGCTTCAACGTTGCAGTTTGTTGGAGTTTTAATTATTTCTATTTTTATATCATCATCCATATTCGTATTAAGTTTCGAAACTTTATCCTCACTAGGAATAACTTTAATCAATGTGATGTCATCGTCATTTTGAGCCTTCTTATCTTTGTCCTGTTCAGACTCGGGACTGCTTAGTGCATAATTAGTATCAGCTAGACTGTCTTGAGGAGATTTTGGAATATTTTGCTTCTTCATCCGTTTTTCGGTAGAACCTCGTAATATGTTGCTAATTGTCTTTTTCCGCTTTTCCGGTTGATTGTCTTCCTTTTTCGGAATTGGCGTGATAACAGCGGAATCTGGGTTCTCAGTGATCTTTATACTGTCTATCGAATTAGAACTGCCCTTATTTGCACTTAAGAGGCTCATTTTTGCTATTGGATGCAACGGTGGGGGATGTGTCGTTGAATTTGTCGTTTTTGACTCACGTAACACTAAATTGCGCAAAGCAGCAAAAATATTTTATATTTTATTTCGAAATACTATACACGTAAATCAATGATTATCCTAATTAGAAATATGTTTTTATACCTGTTATGGTACCTTTGCTGTCCGTACTTAGTTGACCATTATTAATTTTTAGGTTGAACATGCTAGGTTTTGTGGTGTTGCTTTGTTGGGGAATGTTCACTGGCAATATTAAATTCGCCATGTGTTTATGAGTTTGACTCTGAGAGCCACTTGTGGTACTTGTTGATGTTTGTGCTAATTGTGATATTACTGGAGTAATTACTATTTTGGGCTTATTTATCTGAGTCGATGTTAGAGCCCCTAGAATGCAGCACCAAATATATATAAATGTACAGATAATCGTCACTTGATATATTAAATTAGATAATTTTTCGTTGCTTTTTGTATTATATAAGTTGACAAATTGTGAAGCGATCAAGATTGGGAAAGTTATCTTGTAAAAGTAACTAATTACAGTTATTTTCTTTCAAAAAGTAACTAGTTACTCTTACAAGTTACTACATTGTAACTTGTAACTATATTAAGTTATTTAAAGATGTAAGTAAAGAAGTTACAGTTATTGAAAAAAAAAAGTAACTCTGAATGTAACTTATAGGTAACGAGTTATTTCCCAATCCTGGAAGCGACTATTTCAAAAATTTATAAAATACAAAAAAAAATCTTACCTGCAGGTATAACAACGGACTCTCGTGATTTGTTAGGTTTAATGAAGGCTCCCAAATACGCAAACGTATGCTTTCCCACTTGTGCATTGGTCTGATTCCCTTGCGTCGTATTCAAGGGCACTATCTGAGCAGTGGATGTTGACTTTCTAAGTAAAATATGTTTTTGAGCTTGTGAAGGCGTTGCAGTGCTCACAGTATTTATTGGACGATGAATCACGATGTGTTGTTTACTTTGAGATGTAGCTACTTGACTTGGTCCTTGTATAAACACCTTATTTTGTCCAGTCACAATCTAGAATAAAAGTATAATGCACCTAATTTTCTCAGTGATAATTCAGAAAATAAAAGTGAAGTACACCTTATTTTGTCCAATCTCAATCTAGAATGAGAGTTAAATAGACCCGCTGTCTAAAATTAACTTGGTAAAAGTTAAAAGCCACAATTTTGTCCAGAATTCAATTTCAAAGTATTCAAACGTGAGAATGTTTACATAATGTCCATATCAATTACAAATAACACTAAACTAATCAATATCCACTTTTTATTTGTCAATTATGTACTTAGCATGAGATAACATTGATATCATATAAAGTACAACAAAATTCAATAATCATAAGTATATTTTAATATATTCTCTCAGAAGAAAATCAATTCTATGTACATCTTTTCACCTGAGTCTCACCATATGCACTGTACATATATCTGTTGACCAAATCTATATTTACTATGAGGAGATGCACCACTCACTGCTACCATCTACACTTGGTATTACATGGGCTATAAGATCTATATATAAATATATATGTACATGTGAGTGTATGTGTGTATGTATGTGTATTGACAATGAATAAGCTGTATTTAGTACTATTACATTTTGTTCCAACAGTATCATGTATAATTTTTTATTTATATATATAAATATACAAAAAAAAGTGTCATGATGATACAGAGTAACAACTAAAAGGTGTATTTAGTTTTAGGTTATTGTGGCCACTCAACTTGTGTAGGTTCTTTGTTCGCTCATATAATATTATATGTTCATCCATTATATTAAAGGTGCTTATATAGGATACAGGTTGCAAATAATGATACAACTGTAATCTGTACAGCAAGGTTCTCAACTTTGTCACATAAATCATAAAGTAGAAAACCAGTGTTAAATGAGATGTGTATGCGTTACCCATTTTCAATAATTACCTGATTATTAACTGGATTAATAATGGCAGCGAGTTGAGTGTTAGGTGAAACAAGAGTTTGATTTATATGTGACGATTGGGTGGAACGTACTTTATTTTGCTGGATGTACAGCAATGGCATTACAGACGTAGTAGAGGGATCATCCGTCTGCTGTGTATCCGTTGCATTATTCTCATCTATGTCGTCTACTACTATTTCTTCTTCCATTCTGTTGGCAGAAAGGAGGAAATACTCCAAGTTATTCATTACTCATCATTAAAAAAAGTCTCTTATCGCATATCTAATTCAGAAAGATAAAGTAAAAAATAAATCAATCAATCAATTCATGAATTGTCATAACAATCAAAATTTGCTCTACTTATAAAGACAAAAACTAAAAAGTAATGAAGCTTGAAAGTCCATTTTTAAGTGGATATTGTCCGATTGTGTACATGTTATTTATTTTTTTTTGCATAATCAGACAATTACACGAACATAATTATTTCATCCGATCAATTCGGAGGTTTTGTGAAATCGTGAAATAAATCGCAACATGACGTCCCTATTCGTCACTCAATCGCGATAAATAAACAATTACTATACAAAATCTAAATGACGCATTTTTTTTTTTTATTATTAAAGGCCCCAGGTACTAAATGCTACAAACCTAGCGGACATAGCGTTTATCATCGGCATATCGCGTCGTGGTCAATTACATAATTCGCGTGGAATCGAAATTCGGCCGTCCGCGGGAAAAAAAACGCGGACACACGGCAGGGGGACGACGGTGTTTATCGCACGAAATCACGCATCGGAGACGCCCGACGGATGATCTCGTCGAGGGAGAATGGTCGGTACGATTTTAAATGGCGCGCCGTATCCGTATAGCCACAGCACAGTCACGTTACAATCCTCGCACTTTTCCAAACGCTTTGAAATTCACCCTGGGCGAAACCGGCGGCGGAGACGACCCCGCGCGCCGAGAGTGCGTACGCCGCCGCGGGCACAGGGATCCGCGAGTTTCCTATTCAAACCGGACGGACTCGCGTATCCACACTCGCGGTCGCTCGCGTCAATGAAAGGGGGCAACGCGCGTTACGCACGGCACTTTTCGAGAATAACGGACGACGACGCGGCCCCGGGAACTCACGCGGCGGGAACACGTCGCCGTTCGCGCGTGCCGCAGCTCCCCGCCGCTCGGCGCTCCTTCCCCGCTCGAGTACAAAACGCGTGCGACCCGCCCACGCCGTTCCACGCACTTTTAACAAAAATCTCAGCACATCTTTTGAGCGTTCGAGCCCTTAGTCTCCCGTACGCCACAGCTACGTCCCCATAGGCCGGACGCGCAGTGGCGACGGCGCGGCAGCTCGCCTCTCATTGGCCGCCGCGCGGCCCGCGCACACAGCCGCACAGTGAACGGACGCAGTCGGCGTCGGCCAATCGCGCCGCACCAGCGACGCCAACGTTCCATCTTCATTGCTTGACTGACAGTTCTTTATTTTTTTTTTCTTTTTTTTTTTTTTTTTTTTCGAATTGAGCAAATCCCGCCCGTCCCTCCCACAGGGTCGTTTTGCGATCGACGATCGATATGTCGATGATAATCCGCGCGCTTGTGTTCGTTAAAATCGATCACGTGGGCATCTTTCTATTTTTTTTTTGGAAGAAAAATAGACAGAGAACTTTTTCGCGACATTCGCCTTCCGTGAACGCTTTGCAAAAGAAAAACAGCGACCCTCGCGTCGATAACGTTTTACAAACATCAGCGATATGAATAACGGCGCATATACATGAATCGCGATAGCGTTTCCACCTGCGCGGGATGGAGCCTCGGTCGGTATCTCTATGCAACTCTCTACACATAGCGGCCATATCGATGCGAGAGCTAGAGTGGGAAAGGTCCTGGCTGATGATTACACCCGCGAACGCGGAGTGCTTCATCTTACATCTATATACATACACAGACAGATTGATATATGTATATGTGATGCACCAGCGTGTTTTCAAACGTCAGCTGGCAGGCGATCTAATCACTCGCGATCGATTGGGAGACGCGCGAGGCAATTTGCCTCTCGATCGCGGGAACTGTAATTGATATCTGCGGCGTGTCAAAATTGAATCGCGTCTCAAACGGGCTCTCGTCGCGGCACATATGTATAGATATGTACACAATTACGATCCTCTTATATTTACCTTCCCTCTCCACAGTCTTTTACAAACTCTCTCGAAATGAAACGCGAACGATATACCTCTCCGCGTTCTCAAGCGATCAGAGAGAAACGGCGGTGACGGTGACAATTCCGCGATGTTCTCGAAATGCTCCGTGTTAGCGTTTCCCTAAACTTCCGCGAAACGATTATCGTTCACACTGTCGCAAAGAAAAAAAACAGGCTACGCGAGAATCTACAGGTCGAACGGGCCGCTTAAAATTGATCTGAATTCACTCCGGAATATCCGCTAACGCATCCGTGCGAGCAGCACCCGATATGTGCACGGCAACATCGGGTGCTGCAGCTGCTCGGGAGGGAATCGGATCTCGAGAGAGCGCGTGTATTACACCGCAATACATATAGAACGCGATGTGGCATCTTTTATTTTAAGCCCGCGATCGGTCGATTTTCCCGTGCGCACGCTTTATATGCAAATCCATGTAAATCCGTCTCTGGATGAGCCCCCGGCGATGACGGGTAAGGCAACAACAATATATACTTTACCGTGTCTATATAGCACCAGTCGAATTCACCAAAATTCCTACGCGGTAACTCCACACCGCTAGTTCTGTGTTTTACGCGACTAAACTTCTTTTGTTTCTCTCTCTCTTTCCTTCTCTCTACCTCCCTCTCTCTTCTTCCTTCCAGAGAACTCGAGTCTCTTACGTATACTTGTTAGCCCCGACGCGGGTCGATAGTCTTACTTAATATCATTCACGAGAACGTCAGTCGGACGATCATGAGGCGAATTCACGCGTTTACGACGATCGAGTTTAAAAAGAAATGGAGATACATGAATTTCGCTGCTTTCGAATCCGCTTGCCTATATCGTCGACCACGTAAATACGATCGATAAACACGCTGCACAGTCCGTTCGTATCTTCGGCGTGAATCGAGGCGCGTTTAACCACGTTTGACGCGTACGAAGGAAATTGAACCTTAAAGGAGACGTAGGCTGTGCAATATATTAAGTTAACCAATAAAGATATAGTTTTATTATAAAGATATTTTTTTTTGAGCTACGATCACTACGCACGAATTATTTAGATGCGCGTTCGTGGGGACGACCGAACTGATTGTGAGAGCAGAGGGCGTCGAAGACGCCAAGTTTACAGTGTCGCGGACAAAAAAAAATTCTCGACATCTTTTTAGCGAGAGTCCATCTAATAAGAATCACGAGCGTATTTTGTATATAGAGTTTCCGTTACAATTTCGTCAAAATCCTGCGAATGAGGAAAGATATAGGTACTATATCTTCGCTCCGTTTTAACGCGAATTGACGAAAAATAGACGACCAATCAAATTTAACTGTTTCACAACTAAATTAGAGGATTTCTGCTTTAACGACTCTCGAAACTTTCACATTTGACATTTGGTATGAAATTCGTATAATATTTAATTGCCTCCAAAAGCCAAAGCAAATGTCGTGAATATATTAAGTCATTTTAAAAAAAAGGATAAAAAAACGTCACATATTTTTATCCGCGAACATCGCGTGGATTAATAATAGCCACATTTAGAGATTCGCATTCAGAATTGTGTATTACACAATTTGATAAAAATTACAAAAATGAGCAAATTTACTGAAATATTTACAATTAGCACACACAGTAAATTTGCTTATTTTTATGTAATTTTCATGAAATTGTGTGTTACAATCGAACTCTAGCAAAATGTTTCTTTTTACAACTTTGTTAAGTTTTCTTTATGGTGATTGGACTGTACTTTTAAATTTAGAGAAATAGTCCTATATCAGCGAAGAAAATTTACAACAGCTGTAAAGTAAAAAATATATCGATATGACTCGAAAGTGGAAAGCCTATATTCTATGGCCGGTATTCATATAGTTAATTTTTATTTCAAGACCATTTCTTAAGTAACGTCTTAAGATATTATACGGCTCTGTGATTGGTAAATTGTATTTAAGACGACGTCAAATATATATATGTATATTCATAATCGATGAATACCGGCATGTAATAGCCATAAACCGTAATAATTGACTTATCACAATCGATTATTTTCCTTGCATTCGATTATGGCTAAGTCAATTCTTACGACTTACAACTATTGTAGACAGCTGGTTTTGAATATCACTCCGCCGTTTTTTTTTTTCACTTGGATGATTGATAAGCAACAGTTGCAAAATAAACATTCTGCCGAACGTGGCCAATCAGAGGCGAAGTCGAACAGAACTTCGATACATCGACAGTGAATCGAAAGTGAAATATCATTCCGTCGCGTTTCTCAATTAGACGATTAATAAGCAGATCTTACACGCGAAGTTATCGGCGAACGGCAATCTCGGCTGAGGCTTACAGGAGGAAGTTCCCCGCGCCGCTTCTACCGACGAGTTTCTCAACGTCGCTATAACGAACGCACGCCGAAGTTCAACGAAGTTGCTCCAAATTCCGCTGATCAATGTCCACTCGGCGACATCCGCAAAACGAGTCTCAACCAACCGCGTACACTGAAGCGCGAAAAAAAGAAAAAAAAAAGTCACTCTCACCGTTCGCGGCACCGCTCGCGCTTTAACCTCCAAGTTCGCGGAAGTTCACGTCACATGCACATTTTAACACGGGCCCGGAGCGTATAGATCTGATCGGGAGTACCGCGACAATCGAGGTCAGCCAGACAGCAAACTGCTGTGCTGCCACAAATGCAATGTGGCTCTCATGTCACTCGGTCTTATTTTAAATAGGAGCTCAAAATTCGAGCCACACCGTTTTCCGAATCTCGAATTTCGAATATATGTATTGTTAAATCGCGTCTGATGTCGTAACCGCTATGACGGCGGAGAACCGATGGAAAGTGGAAGAGTAATTTATGCACGGTTAAACGCAACGACCATTAAAGTTGCAACACATTTAGACGCAAATAAGAAACGAACATTCAACGTATTCGTATATTGAGCAAATATATATATATGTTATGTGGAAAAGATGCAATTTTGGCGGGAGTTAATGCCTGAAATAGATAAAGAAACGCGAAAAAAAATAAGATGCAGACACGGCACGAGAGACGTATTGCGGTTCTTCGTAAAAAAAAAAAAAATATATATATATATAAAAAATATATTTAAATCGATAAAAATATTCGTCGCTTTCGTCGGTCGCGGTCCCACGTCTTGCGTGCAATGACCAAAGGTTAATGAAAAGTTCGTAAAACGTCATATAAAATGTCCGCCCCCGCGAATCGACGTTTTACTATCCCATATATATTATCCGAGCGAGAAAGAAGAAACGGTTTACGATACGCGTCGGATAAAAAATACGTTCGAAAGTGCAATCGGGCGAACTACGCTGAATTATAGGGGGAGAAAAAAAAAAGAAGAAGTCGAGTATCGTCGATACTCTCGCATTCATGCACGCAAAGTGCAAATTATATATACGTTAACTCGGCGTTCACGGTGCGTGCTCCGCGTCCGCGGCTCACGAGAATTTTCGATCGCGGACGAATTACACACGGGGAGCGTACAAATCGACGTGGCGCAGCCCCGGTGTCGTGTACACTCCCGTAGATATATTTACCAGGGAAACAACACGCACGGGCGAACAACGTCAGGCCTAACAAAGAGCGACGATTTTAGCAACGCACGCGCCGAGGTAACGCTCGTGGGCGACCGCGAACGGCGCCGGACAACTGGATAACGTTCCGCGGGCACGACGAATCATTTTGCACGCCGGCGGCGAGTTGTACGCGCGGAAAATAGCAGAAATGCACAACTTACGTTTTAAAGTTGTCGACCAGGGCCATCTGATGGGTCTTGGAACGTTGATAAACGCGGTAATAGAGACGCTAACACGACGAGAGATTCCGCCCGTGCGCAATGGCGTTTGGCCCAGCAGACGCTCCCGCTCCTCCAGTTTTTGCGCATTTCCCGTACGGCAGCTACACTTTCTGCACGTTTCGCGTCTCCTCGCCAACGTTTTCCACGCGATTAGTGCAGCCTACGAGCACCTCGAGCATATAGGAGAGTACCACGTAAGAATTACACGCTCTATACGTGCAGTCACGTGATCGCACGAATGTGAAGTGACGAGCGAACTTCTCATTTACTGTAATAATCACGCGAGAAATAAATAATAACAGGCAGTACCTCGTAATATCAATATTAACGATATAACCTTAATAAAACGTCGAACATTTGTTTTTGTCGTGGAATAAAGCGACGAGCAGGTAAAATAGTTTGTATATTAGCGCGTTGTCATTGCATCTGCATGATGATGGTCACGTGATGCGCACGCATCGAATATGTTTGTCCTACGAAAGTCTCGTGTGATTTATCTCAAATATTTGTTGGAATTAATCGAAACTGTACCAGTCTGGCTGTCATTGTTACATACATTTTCGAATATTATTTCGCAACACTATTCAGATTTGGCTTTTCTATCAGTATCATATATGTTTCATATAATACCAGTATATTTCCCTTCGGTTATGAGACACACTTTTTATTAGAAGAGAGACGAGGCTACCTGATAACCTTCGAATCGATCTCCCTTTTGTCATGAAATACATTTTTTGCATATAAAGAAACGAAATTATCTAAAATAACTCTCTCAGATTTCCCTTGGTCATAAAATTGCTATTTTTGTGTTATAGCCATAATATAAAATATAGTGCCATATTTTATATGAGACGCTGAAAAGCAATTTCGTACGTGTCTCAATTTGATATATGCTTATCTGATACTAGAAATTGGATAAATCCATTTAGGAACTTAAAAATTAAACGCTATATTATACATGTAATAACAATTATATATATACAGCCTTTTTATGGATTTTTTACTATTATATTTATATTTACAGTAAAATTCTCACATAACCTATTTTGATGCTGAAAGCGAACGTCGAGCATTAGTATGAAAAGATATCGTATCGTAATGATACATATCTGATATATGGGATAGTAATATATTTTTTATAATTTTTATGTATAAGCCAACCTTTTAATGGCCATTTATAGTAAGAATAATATATATAGTGTAGTAAATCGTATCCATAAAAAATTGACCAATCACAATCGAATATATGATTGGTTAATTTCTTCAATTGTTTAAATTTCAACAGCCATGCTACTTCCATAAAAATAATTGCTCTTTATATCAATATATCTTGTCAGTGCTATTTATTAGGCTCTGTGCACAATAGATCGAGAAAATATTAGGAACAGGAATACGCGTATTTAATTATCATAGACGTAGCTAGTATAGATATTATATATATAATGCTTCTTACTATGCCGCATTAGGGCGAATTCACACCTTGACAGAAAAGCGGAAAACAGAAAAGCAGAAGCCAATCAGAACTTGCACTGGTAGCAAGAAAAGCAGAAAGCAAAAACTATTAACTACCAACGCGAGTTCTGATTAGCTTCTGCTTTTCTGTTTTCCGCTTTTCTGTCAAGATGTGAATTCGCCCTCATATCTTACAACTTAGGCCGGGAGCACATGAAATGCATAATGCGGCACAAGCATATTGTCGTTCTGTTTGTAGGAGCCATTTTTTTATTCCTATTTCTAATATTTTTTCCATTATGTGCAATATATGCCTTACTTAAGATGATTTTAAATAAGAACGCGGACTATAATCGGTATTCATAATCAATTACTTATACATATATATTTAAAACGATCTTAAAAATACAGTTTCAAGATATGTCATAATTAATTAAGAATGGCTACGGTCCATTTGACGCTGCAAACCCTTCGAAGCATTTTTTTATTGGTCAATTAGTAAGAATTCTTTCTTCTGATTGGTTAATCACCTGCTTCGAGGCATTTGTAGCGTCAAGTGAACCGCATCCGATTGGTTTCCTTGATGCTTTGCAGAGGGCGTTTAAAGTGCAATATTCTTTCAGGCCTCGTTATGTATCTCGAGTAACATTCTTGTCATAATATCGTCTATGGTTTTGCCCAATGGCGTAGGAGCTGTTGATCAGCGTTTTGGCGTGTTTTGCAGTATCAGCTGATGGACTTGATGAACTCTTCCGCGTTGTGTAAAAAAAAAAAGAAAGAAAAACATAACTGCCGCCGTGGAGTTCGTGCCGTGGCAGTACGTCGTGTCGCATCGTCAACGTCGTAATATGCCGACGTACGACGTCGTCATCGAGGTAACAGCGCCGGGACAGAGCTTTTCGCCTTAACTGCTCGTCGTTTCTGCCACTAATCCGCTGTCAGGTTGTTTTGATTTGGTAGGTCTACTCGTGCAACCTCCCCGACGGCAGTGTCGCGACGCGTTACGTGTCGTCACGTAGCCGTAACGTTACGCGCTGTGACCACGTAATATAACGCGTTAACGCGACGCTACCGTTAGGAAATCGCAAAGCGGACAGATAATCGTCGAAATCTAACTCCCGAAGTCCGTGATCTTGCTCTGATCCATTAAATCGTGTTTGTAGACTCGCTCATCGCTCGACACGAGAGAGCACGCGAGAGAGTGAGACGGAAAAGAAGACGTGGAAGGGCGAGAGGGAGAAGAGGCGAGATAGAGTGAGAGGTGAGACACAGTGTTATCGTAAATAAACATAAGTCTGTATCGCGTACCTTCTTCATCACAGATCGCGGGTTATTGCCGTCCGTTATTTTAAAGTCAGTGCGGAATGTCCTTCGTTGCATCATCGGATCGTTGTCATGAGTAATTAAATTAATAATCGGTAAAGCGTTAAATCAGATTAATATGGCGCGGTGTTGATGCATAGATTTTTTTACATCATTCATATATTCGTAGTTAATGCTTTTAAATGTACTTTGACCCTGCAAGTTATTTTTAAGGCAACCTCTCGAGACTGCGCCGTCTAAGTTACCATATTGTCTTACAATATTTTAAAAAATTCACTGCTAATAACGAATGCAATAGCCAATCAATGTTGCATAGAAAACATTTGATTGATAATCTTACTAAATAACTCCTGGTGTGTTAATTCCACTTCAATCAGAACCAATTATTTTTGACTCAGTATTTTTTTATGTTATATGTTATATAAAAAGTGGTATGTTAGATACACATGTGTATATACATGTGTAATGTCAATACATTTACGAATGTCTTCCTTATTGTTCTGCTCACTTTGAAAAATAAATATATATAGGTTTATTTACTCCGTTCACTGCTGTAGCAAATATATCTTTATTTGAACAAAAGTATTAAAGTCAATGCATGCCAATGTTCTTTTGCTCATCTGTTGTTTCATTCACATCTAGTTTAATCATAATTTGATAAACCATAAAGATCATAATCATATTATGAATATTGTTTTTCAAAGATATTTACATAAAATAACAAAGGAATCTTATTAGGAATATTCAATACTTTTACTCCATATTGATCAACCAGTTTAGGATACTATTATATTTATTGTATAACAATTTTTTCAAGCTTGTTGATTAGCTGTTAGGTTAGAGAAGTTCTAGATATTTGAAAATTTTTCCTGCAGCCAATTAAGATGCTAGAAAAATTTACCGTAAAGCAAATGTAATATCAATCTTTTCTATAAGCGTGAGAGCTAAAAAAATTTCACTTTCGTCAAAAATCCCTGTTGACTATTAGTGTAGGTCTAGTATAGCCTGGTATAAATCTTATACTAGACGTTTTGTGGAAAGAATCAGAAGGTTTTATTTAGTGAATGATCAGCATTTGAATAAACAAAATTTTAGTAATCTAATAGTGTGATTATTGTACCTGCACTTGTTGATCCATACTAACCTAAATATTTTTAAATTTGTTTAAAAATGAGTTATTTTTTTATTTAGGCCTGACTATTTTAATTTCTGTACTAATTATTTGTACAATAACATAATAAATTAATACATAACCATTGAATTTTTTACAGAATACTTAATATTTAAATAAACATGGGAGGAGCTGTAAGCTGTGGGCAGGATAACGACGAATTAGTTGATAATTTAATGGGTTCAGGATATATCAGAACAAAGAAGGTGGAACAAGTTTTTAGAGCTATAGATAGAGCAGACTACGTTCTATATGCTTATCGAGAAGGCGCTTACAAGGACCTAGCTTGGAAACATGGAAATATACATTTATCAGCTCCCTGTATATATAGTGAAGTGTTGGAAGGACTTAGTTTAGAACCTGGCTTAAGTTTCTTAAATCTTGGATCGGGAACTGGCTATCTCAGCACAATGGCAGGATTGTTGATAAGTAAGAAAATTCCTATTTTTAAAAAAATTAATACCGAGTATATTTATATATGTATGATATCTTTTGTATCTTTTCCAGAACAACATGGAGTAAATCATGGCATTGAATTGCATGAAGATTGTTTAAAATACGCATACGAAAGATTGGAGGAATTCAAGCAAACGTCACTGGCTTTAAATGAGTTTGATTTTTGTGAACCTGTATTTATACAAGGTAAGACAATTTTCTTGAGCACTGTTAGATGACAATGGATTTATATCAAACATTACGTCATAACAATACATCCAACAGGAAATTGTCTTAGCGTTATACCTGGCAGGCAATATGACAGAGTATATTGTGGTGCAGCGTGTCCTGAAAGTCACGAGGCATTTATTAAACAATTTGTACGTGTTGGGGGAGTATTAGTAATGCCTTACAAGGATCAATTGTTACGTTTGCATAGAGTGGATGAGAATACATGGTTACAGAACACGATGCTTCCCGTATCTTTCGCGACTCTAGTCGTACCTCCGTCCTCGGAACACAATTTGTTTCACCTGCGTACGTAATGTTTCGTGAGAAAAAAATTTTGTTCGACATTTCTGATTTATAGTATTTATACTATTTCCAAAATTCTTCATTGCAGCGGAGTTCAATCCGTTGTCTCTGCAAGAGCTGTGTCGCGGTAAAATCCGACATCGTCTACGTCGTAATATCTGGTACGAGCATCCCGAGCTCGAGAAAGAGAAGCCTATACTACCGGTACATCAGAGACAGACTGCGCAGCAACGTACCCTCAGACGTTTCGTAATACCTATTTTTGAGGAATCTGACGAATATTTAACCGATGATGAGCACGAGCTTTCCAGCCGGGCGCGTTTTCTATTAAACGCGAGTCTCGCCGACGTTCAGCCCGGTGAAGCCATCACGACGAGCTTGCAATTGGTACGAGCGGTCGTGCAACCAAATCAGAACGGCGATGACAGTGAGGAGGCACAACGGGTTTCGAACGCGTACAGCAACGAGAGTACTCGGGATATCGGCGTGAACACGGATTTCCCCGTACGTCAGCAGAGACGAAAATCTGCCGCGAAAACTGCTGTTTCGAGCATAAGCACGGACGACACGAGCGCGGGTCACAGTTCCTCCGTAGCCACGGACACGAGCGACAACAACAACGGCGGATTAGAGGAGCGAAGTAAGAGAGACGCGGAGAAGTCGAGCGTGGCCGCGTACTCGAACATGAGCGACAGCGACAGCGACAGCGACGCCGAGCAGGAGAGCGCTTTCGTCCAGCGCAAGAAGATCGCCAAGCGCGAAAAAACGGACAGCGGTATAGTGGACGACGATGCGAACTTCAGCAACGACGAGAGTTCCAGTAATTCGAACACCAATCACTCGGACTCGGACATCACGGACACCACGGACGCGGGCGACGCGATGGACGTGGACCTCCCCGAGATAGCGATTTACAAGTCGTGCGGCAACACGTGCTCCCGCACGTCGAGAGGCTCTAATACCGGCAAGGGCGTAACTGTCGCGCACTACATAGATAGCAACGCGTTTGCCGTTTACATGAGGGAAAAGATAGAACAGTTACCATTGCCTTTCTCAATAAAGCTGTACATGAATTATAACCGGAAATTATAAGCGAAATATCGTCGTTATTATTATTATTTAATAAAGAAATATAAATAACTTTTTATTACGTAACACAAGACTTGCGCTGTTTTTTTTTCTCTCTCGTGTATGCGTTCGTACCGAACTTGCGTAATCCGCACGAGTGCTCTGCGTTCCCGAGTGATATTTTCAAAATGAACTCCTATCGCGTCGCGTATCTTAACGGCGCTACTTAACCGTCACCAATATACCTTATGCGGCCTGCTGATAACGATGAATCATTGACACATACGACCTTTTCGTCGGTGCCGAGTTATCTATCGTTCCTACATCCTACAAAACTTTTCTTTTAATCTTCTCATTACTTTTGCGTAATGAATAGGAACAATTAAGGTATAGAACTGTATATGTATAATTGGGATATTTAGGGATGAGATTATATTAAAAAGATATTAAACTCTCATAATTTTATATATACGATCTTTTATTTATGATCTCTCCTACAAAAGTGTCCGCGTCAGAATTAAGTTTAAATGCTAGATACTTTCCGAAATTCAATCCTATGGATTCTCGATACGCAAATCGAGGAAAATTAAGGGATCGCGAAAGCAAGGGAAAACTCTTATCCACCGGAAGCTACGATCTGCATTATTTCACAACTGACAGCGTCAAGATTTGAATTGTTTACGCGTGAACTTGCCCCCGTCCTGAAACAATATCAATACTCCCCCGCGCCAGCACGTGTGAGGCCAGGGATTTATCTATGTGGAGTGTCCGCGAGAGTGGGTGGCGGGCGGGCAGATCGGTGAGAGAAAGAGGCTAACGCCCACAGCAGCTCGGCAGATCGCGCGACTTCGCGGCCTTCGCGCATCTCTCGTGATAAGAGACGGAGGGAGGTCAGCACTTGGCGCGCGAGTCGTCGCACGACCTCGAGCGCACAAGGTCGTGCCGAGGTATAATCGAGGTGTATCCAGGTGTATCCAGGTGCATCCCTCATCTCGATCGCTCTCTCGTTCGCGCATCTCGCCGCCGCCGCCTCGTCGTTCTTCTCCCTCACGTCGAAATTGCCGAGTCGCGTTTCGCGTTTGCCTCGCGAATCTCTCGACCCAAGATGTAGTCGAGCGGAGATGCGTCGGACACCTCCCCCCAAGATTCGCGCTTTTGCGCGGTACATATTCGGTGCGCGGGTAAGCCAGACCGACCGCGCAACATCCCTGACTCCTGCGCGAGGGGATATCGACGTCGTCACGCCGGGATATCGTCGACGCGGAGAGAAACCCCGCGGAGGGTAGCCGTTTGAACGAGATAAGGGAGTACAGGCGACTCGCACGGTCGTTCACTCGGTGACTACTCGGAGGTGTCACGAATGTCACGATAACGCCCCGTTCGAATCGGTTAAGGTGAGGAAGATGTCGCGTCATTGACGTTGTGTTTACTGTGTTTACGCCAACGTATATCGTCGTCGCATCCAATTCGCTACTTCGAAACGGATTGATTGCGGAATATTTCTGATTTTCATTCGCTAAGAAATTCTCGAAATTTTTGAAGAAGAATTATGAGTCACGTACGAATTTTTAAGAATATTTTAAGTATATATGAATTTAACAAATGTCATGTGCGCAGTATTGCGAAACTATGGAAGCCCGAGATATAAAGTATTCGTAGCGAATCCCTCGCAAGCTACTACGGAAGCTCCTAAGAACTTATAAAGATAAAAATAAATAAATGTGTAATCCCTTGTTTAATATACCGCGATTAATTTTAGATAATTGATTGGTGTTGATTTTTAACATTTTTCCGATAGATTTGACGAACGAAGATGAAGGCGACCGTGTCAGGCGTGTTTCTCCCTCTCTGCCTCTTCTGCATCAACCTGCCGGGTGTCACTATGAACTTTGACCCGTTCTGCGGTGGTCACCTGACGGGCTCCAGAGGCGTCATACACACGCCGAATTTCCCCGGACCGTTTCCGGTTCCGATCAAGTGTCGTTGGGTGATCGACGTGTCCGACATCCCGTCGACCAACAGCTCCATCGTCGTCTACCTGACGCAGCTCTACGTCTACAAGGGGCTCCGCTTCACCGAATACGCGTACTACGAGTCCGAGACCATGAACTTTGGCGCGGCCCTGGTTAAGGAGGTGACCGAGGGTAACGTCTTCGAGTACCGGCGCCTCAGAACGTTCAGGCCGTTCCTGGTGGTCGAGTTCGAGCTCGATCGGCTCGAGGGCAATCACGTCAGGGTGCTGAACGACCTGCTCGACGTGTATGGATTTAACGTGACGTACGAGATGACCGAGGAACATCCGAATCTCGATTCCTGCACCGTACGCGACTGCTCCTTCGCGGGCAACTGTCTCGTCTCTGCGGATTACACGTGAGTTGTTAATTATTTATAATTCGCTGATATACAATATTATCCTAGCACTTCATGCAGCATATCTCCATTTTTTAAAAATGATAAAATTAATTCTTAATAAATTAAAAAATATTGTGTATAATCGAGCACGATTTGTTTATCATTTATATATATTTATATGTATTATTTCATTTGTATATACTTTTCACTTGTATATTCATGTTGTATTTATGTACAACTTGGCAATTTCTTCTAAATTATAATTGCACATTGTTATCTGCGTCTTGCCTTTTTATAATTCAATTTTTTTTTCTTATGCTATTGCATATTTCAAACTGTTTACTTTTATGATATTGATTAACTTTCACAAGTACAATACCTTTACTTACAAAGCGCTCGTATTGTTGGAGTTGAAAAGAAATTTTTCAAACAATTCCACCAATGTGTAAGAATACGTCAATGGAAGATTAATTTAGAAATTTGATTAATTCAGAAAGCTTAAAATAAATTGACTAAACCGTGAATATATGTAAAATGTCAACTTGCATTGAGGAAACGTAATTATAAATTTTGCAACAAATCATATAAAATAATCTTTACAATAAGTAATTTATTAATTTTTTGCTTTAAACGTGTTATTCTTATTTTAGCTATGTATATTTTCAATGATAAAAAAGAAATTTTAAAATTTTTACTAATATTCTAAATGTAAACAATGAAAATCTAAATGGACTATTCTATTTTCCTTCTATATAGATAATATTTTTATTTAAGAAAAAAAGTTATTTAATTTCATTTAACGAATATAAGAATATCTTTGTCAATTCGTTATTAGCAAATATTCTCGAAATTCGAAGCAGCTTGTAAAAAACTTATTCCTTCAAAAATAAATACTCAAGAAAAAAAATTTAAATGTTTACGAAAAGTTGTTGCTATAGAATTACTGCTAATGAAACATGAATCATGACTTCTCATTTTATTTGCTTACTCATGTTAGAAGCATAAAGTTTCCTTGACTGTTGCATTTGTTTTTGTTTTGCAGGTCTTTCTGGTGCGATTGTTTTGATGGTTTCAATGGGAGGAGCTGCAACGAAGGTCCGTTGTGTTTTAACGATGAAAATATTCCAGTTTGTCAAAACGAAGCCACATGCAGGTATAAATACATATAAATACAGTACAACATATTTAAAAACGACTATTTTTCTGCAATGAATTTAAAAAAACCGCATAAACATAAAATACGGTATATGTTTATTTATGTGAAATAAACTTTAAATATCTTTGCAATGTATAATATAATCAATATTTAAATATTTGTATGAATATTTCATTATGTGTGATAAAATATGCTATTATCTTTCAGTCTATTTACATTATTGCATAGTTAAATAGCTGCAAGTTTTTATGCAATCTTTTTTGTAGAATCCAAAAATTTTTAATTTGCAAAATGATTTATGAATCTTATAAAAATCACAAAATATTGTATATAAAAATAAAAAATTTGTATTCAAAAAATTATATAATAATATAGAACAAAAACACCTTTCTTGGCTTATTGTCCTTTATTATTTTCATATTACGTAACATTTTATGATTCGAACAAAAATTATTCCCTGAGGCGACTTGCGGAATGAATAATAAGCTGCATTCATTACAGGCAAATTGGAGCAGAGGCAATGCACTGCGATTGTCCGAATGGCTACGTCGGACACAACTGCGAAACTCGTCTTTTAGACATTTCAGACACCGGTTAGTGTTTTATTGATTACGATTCGATTAGATATGTTTAATCCATTTTATTTTAGTACGCAGATTATTGATGCTTATCGTTAATGATAAGGCTGAATGAAGTACAAATAAGAGTTGCGCGAAAACACAAAAATCCTTGGAATTCTAAAACGGATAATTATATCTCTCTATTATATCTTTTTGCAGGATGCGCTTCGGAACATTGCGTACTGCAATGTCCGATCGACGTGCAAGGACCACCGTGCACGTGCAAAGACGGCATACAAGTGAAGATATACAACAGTAAGTTTTAACATTTCGTATATCTAACAGTTTATTGCAACGTATTTTGTATGTATTTTGCAAGTCTATAGTAGTTGTTTTTTTAGCTCTCTCTATGGACTTTCTGATCTATTTTAACTAGATTTTTCCTAGAAAATCTTATTTAATGTTTAACATTAAATAACTAACTTTGTAATTAAATATGTTAAAATTTTGTTAAAGTAAAATTTATCAAAATGAAACGAAGGACATGATTTTACTTTGTTAATTATTGTTAATTATACGTCTGAAATTTAATTGATCTAATTGAGCCATGTACTTGCAAAGACGGCACGAAGATATGCAATAATGAGTTTTAACATTTCGTATACCTAACAGTTATTATTGCAACGTATTTTGTATGTATTTTGCAAGTCTATAGTATAGTTTTTTTTTAGCTCTCTTGGTGGACTTTCTGATCTATCTTGACTAGATTTTCTTTAGAAAATCTTATTTAATGTTTAACATTAAATATCTAGCTTTGTAATTAAATATATTAAAACTTTATTAAAGTAAAATTTATCGAAGTGAAACAAAAGACATTATTTTACTTTGTTAATTATACGTCTGAAGTCTAATTGATTAAAATATTACATTTTGATTAAGCTAAAATGTATTCACTCAAAGATGAAATCACTCAAAGAATTCGTAAATGAAGGAATGCGACGAACTTGGAACATCCTATGTAACACATGGACTTTGTATTCGTAGATCGCTCGAGGTACGAATGCAGAATCAAATTGTCGAATGTTACGTCTCTCCGCACGGGTTTGGCGCAACACGGAAGTTTGGAATCATTTATCAGCAAGCAGGTGAGTGAAGAATAGTCAGAAATATATTGAATTCGTTTTAATTTAATTGCTTTTTTTTATTAAAAAAACATTTAAACTATTTAACAACAATCTTTTGCTAAAATAACGTATAATCGTAAAGAATGTTGTTCGATACTGTGACGCGCATCGTAAAATATTTGCGATAAAAATATGTAAGAATATAAGAATAACCACGCGCGCTTTGACGCATATGTGCCTGCGAGTTTATATGAAAACGAGATATGCATAAACGGATTATGTAACGAAATAGGATTCTACTTTTAAAATAGCACATACGCGCGCACGCGCGCGTGCGCAGAGTCATTTCAAAGGCTGTTGGAAATGTTGCAAAGATTTTTTTCGTATGAAACTACGTCCGCGGTTTAACGTAAGCACGAGCACATAACATACGTGACACACCGTCGCCGGTGAGCGGTGTATATCGAAACGCAATTGTCGCATGCAGCTATATGACAATTATATGTCGTAATGATTTTTGTACATTTGCGTCAATTTCGCTGAAGAACGTACATTCGAACGAATACACTGTCACTTCCAGTAATCTCTAATCCACGTAAATGAATCCAAGGAGCGATCAATTTATTGCGACTTAAACGTATAAGTCTTAACGTCTGTTTCGTAACAATGCAGAAAAATTTCCGAATGTGCGTCAGAGTAAACTATTAATACGAGCATTATTGCTTGAAAATTAGTAAACTTATAGCATACGCGTTTATCTTTCCTTGAAATAATTGAGTTGGAAGAAATTTCCAAATTGCTGCCGTATTTATAAAATTTAAGAGCCCATTTAAAGAGGTAAACATTTAAAAATAAATAATTTATTTTAATAATGACACATTTTTAATCTACGTTACATATTATTTAATTGAGAAAAATATTGAAGTTCAATATTAGAATAACTTTTGGACTTTAAAACGTTCTTTTAACCCGTACGTTGTTCCACATGCGTCAGTCACTCAAGTTCGATCAAATTCCCACACAGTGGCCATGTCGTAACCGTGATTCTCCTTCCTGACATTTTCAGGCAAGGAATAACGTCGTAACAATTTCAATCGCTTTCTGAGATCCTCGTTTAATCCGTGCCTTCCTGGATCTCCTAGATAAATCCGCGCACCTCGTTCATGTGCGTCACTCAACCAGGTCATTAAAACGTTCGCTATTTCTTCGTCATACAGTAAATCACCCACGAAGATCACGTCATATGGAACTTGTAGTGGTTTTTCTAACAGATTTTCCCACAGTATCTCGATGTCTGCATTATTCAATATTGCATTCATCGCAATGGCTACGCAGGCAACTGAAATAAAAAAAAAAATTTCCATTTGTATTTCTGTCCGTTAGTCATTAACATAAGAGACTTTATATTTTATTGGTAATATATTTTGATATGATGGTAATTTAATTTTAATGGTTTTACAAGAAGTAGTTAATATAATAAAAAATTTTAAATCCTATAAAGTAGCAAATATTGCGCATACATTTCACTCATTCTTAATATTCTAGCTATATTTTTTAAATGTTATATTTTCTATATTTAAAAAATTTTTCTCTTCTTGGATAAAACATAACTAATATCAATTTTACAATGAAAAACATTCTTTCGCAGGTAATTGACCGTATCGCGCACGCAATTATCACTGTCTTACAACTATGAGTCATACGTTCTATTAAAAGGTTTACTCATGAATGTCGCTTACGTTTTTACACTTGTTACAGAATTATAGAAGTTGCTGTTCACTTTATTATTTAGTTTTAACGACATAATTTTTAAAAAAAGTTACGAAGTCTTTATAGAAATTATGGACTAATAGTTATTATGTAAAAATTATTGTCAATTAATACATAAAATTTTTTTGTTGAGGAAACATTTCGATTTTATTATCATAACATTTGATCATAGAAATTATTTTTATTATTTTATTCACTAATTTTAAAATTTGTACAAATTACTTAAACAATTACGAGTTTAAAGCTTCATAATTTTTGTTATTAATTCTTATTCTGTTGAGAAGCAATTCTACGTGCTCATATAGAATATAATTAGTTAAGACAAATAGAATGCATATCCGTAATATTATTCATTGTATATTATCTAACAATTTACTCGGTAATCGATATGTGATCAAATCGCTCGAACAATCTTCTTTTACAGTTGAATGGCTCTTCAAACGGAGATATAATCGGTAGAAAGTGAAATTTCTGGGCATTGATTCCAATATCCGTCATATTATGTCATTGAGTTTTTGTCAGTCGTTTGATTTGCTCGTGGACATTGGAACGGAGACCGTACGCGTCTTCGTGTGGTATATAATGTCCTTGACTCAATATCGATTCGAGCCAAAAGCATGTTAGATTAATATGAAATGCTATGCCGGCAACGAAATAATCGCATTCTACGAATTTTAAAGTTCACGAGAAGCAAACGATGTCGGAAAGCCTATTGTATGTTATATACATTTCGACTAGAAGCTTTTTCTTCGTATGTAAATAAATGAAATTCAGCAGAAAACGTTATTGTGCAACGATTCCTATCGTTTGCATTTTTTCTTTTTTTTTTCTGATTGAATTTCAAGATACAAGATATTCCAATACATATTCTCACGATATTAAAATTAATATTAAGATTAATATAATACAATATACTGCCAATATTATTCTAATTTCAATCTTGACTAATTGTATTAATTGCACTTCCTCCGTAATTATATCGAGAATTTATTTGTATAGATTTTAAAGAATTTTTATTTTGATTCTATTCCCTACGACAGAATAATATTCAATTTTTTTTATCTGTTAGAAAGTACATCGGTTAGCATGCTAGACAGACATGCAATACCGAGAATCGGCCTTTCTCTGACGCACGAGGTAACTCCTGCCTCTTTGTACCTGCGTAAAATCCTGGGGAAACCCATTCTGCGTCCCACATTCTAATTTCTCCACCTGCTCGATCTCCAAAGCGTAACGCGACTCTTCCATTTGGAATAATATCGGTTACAAAAATTTTTCAAATTGTTATTTATATAATCATATAATCGACAATTTTGTAATTTTGAATTCTCCGGGAGAATTATAATAAATGGGAGCAATGCTGTTGATAAGTACTAATAGAAAATTGTTAGATTTGTGGATGTGAGTCACTCTGCCTTTTTTTTTTTTTAACGCGCAATATTATAGCTGCGGCAAGAATTGACGACGTGTCAACGACTTTGGTGATAACCGGCGGAAGCTCAATCAGCGAAGAAACACGCAGAAAACACGTCAGAAGGGAGGATCGCCGGCGCGAATCAGTCATTGATAGAAACGCTCTCGAGGGCATTAATTCTACGTACTGTGCGCAATACGAAACGCAACAGTTACTATCAGCATTGTTTGGCTCGATTCGTGCAATGCGATCGTGCAAAGGCACGACTGGCACGCGAACGACGAAGCGGGTGGATGCATTCGGATATATATATATTTTTTTAATCATACTCAGGGAATTCGGTCTTATCTACGTATGGATTCATGCCAATTATCGGTGTTGCTGTTTACGCACATCTGTTCATCGACAGATAAACTCACACAGAGATACAAGTGACGTCAAAGGGGATCTTCTGAGTCTTCCTTTTGGATCTCCTCAATCGCCTGTTTTTCTCTCTTTTGGCTACCGACATTCTTCGGCTCAATGGTGTAACTCGCGAGATCCAGTCGTTACAAGGCTATTGGGGAACCCCGTCGCGGGGAAATTCCCATCAAAGGTTTCTTAGAAAAGAGAGAAATTTCATAAAAACTGTGTAGGTACTAAACTTACCGGAGTACTTATTAAAAGGAATTTAATTAACATAGATATAAGAAATGCAAATTGCGCTTCTTCACTTTTTTTCTTGTTTTTTTCGTATTTTCCTCTTCTAGAAACGGGAAGCACTTTGTACAAAGCCCATTAGTTAAGCCAAGGTCGTGTAAAGTAATCCACTTAACATTACGCCATTGGCACGTTTCCTCGCCCTCTCGATCTTGGCCCGAGTCGCAATCGAGACGGGCCATTCCCCGTACAACACGGATCCTCTTCCTCCCCTTCTTCTTTCACATTCGAGGAACCTCGCGCGAAACGAAAATTCTCGTTTCGACACGTTTTTCATCATTTCGAAGAAACGGCGAGGAAACGCAACATCACGTGCATATCGTTATATCGTATGCAACATGATGCTAATCTAGAAAGATTTACAAATTGTCGTAATCGCGGTCTTTTAGTGCAGTTTTATACGATTGTTAACCAATCGAACGTCTATTTGTTATGTAATATTTTCCAATGATGAAATTTATTTTTCTTTTTATTACTTATTATATAATGCTTGAGAATGATTATAATTACTTATTCCATAGAATATCGAAAAACCATCGAAATGTCCTATACCTGTTACATCATTGAAAAAAAATTATGTTGATATTAGTCATAATGTCATCGTAATTGCGACATCGATAACTTTTAGATATCAGCTCGATCATTTCACATTTTTTTTAGATTAGTGAATTTATCTCTGTTGGAGCCCACTCACATATGGCGTTTTTTCCACGTGTATCTATCTCGATTGTGCTATCAGTTATGTTATCAGTCAAGTGCATTGCAATTAAAATAATCGAAGGATAGCGTATCGAGCGTATCGAATACGTACATACAGTACTCAAATTCGCGACCTCATTTTATTTTACATCCTTTGAATAACGTAAAATTTTGAACAAAGACAATAATTATGTTAAAGTATTATTGACGAGAAATCCAGAGACCTTTCATTAAATGTAATATTAAGACCAGATTATATTCTATATTTAAAGAAAAATTTTGATTTGACAGACTTGATTTTAGAATTATTTACTATAAAATTTATATATTAATAATGTATTCTTAATATCGACTTTGGCTTTAAGGTTTTTTTTTTTTTCAAGAATTATTATAGTCTATTTAAATTAATAATCGTTATATATACCAACCTTTGCTGATGTCATTTGCAACAATCTTGCACATTTTATTCGTTAATTTCGCAGCTATCGCCGTAGCGCCGCATCCCGCGCCCAAATCCAGTATCCTTATTGCATCTTGCCTCGCATTTTGACCCACGCATCCTAAAATTCTTTCCTTTTCATCCAGAATGAATCTCGTAAGTACTTGACCTCCAGGCCAGTATATAGACCAAAATGGATCTTGAAATACGTTTCTGGTCAAGGAATCAAATTTTCCATCTGTATGTTCATCGAACGGCTCATGGTATAGAGGACAGTCCTCTGTTAGTAGAAATAATTTCAACTCCGGAGTCAGATGATCGTGAGTCATCTTCGTGTTTTTTAAAATCGCGGTCGCTACTTCGTGATGATTTTGAATAAATCTTTTAAGCGATGTTCTGTGGCTATTACGTAGAAAATTCTCCCATGCCTCCTTCGTGCTCCTTGAAAATTTTCGTATGGAAAGAAGCTTCTTCAAACACATGTTTCTTCTGATAATCATCATGTATCTCCTGATATTGTTCCGATAATCTTCGAAACCTGGAAAAAGTTGTTAATTATAGACTGTCCATACAATTGTAACACGTGTGGCTTTCGGGGAAATCCAAAAATACATTTTTTTCCAGGAATTAATCTTATAAAATCAAAAGTCAAAGGGGGAGGAGACATAATCATTGATTACTACCGTTTTTCAATAAAGACGCCGATAAGCGATTATCTTTTTAAGAAATGTATCGCAATAATGATGAATTTATGTTTTACTTCATATCCGCGATAAGATTATCGATTAAGTTAAGTCGCATCTAACTCGAGGATCTTGAATATAGAAAATATTTTGTTTGCGTTATTTATTGCGTAAACTTTTGCATCTTAATTTCTGAAAATTTTATACCGTAAAGCAATCAAAACATTATGAAATGATGACGTAGTCGAAACATTTTCAAAATATTTTGCATGTTTTAAATACGAATATCTTCTCGTTATGCTCCAATAAATATACCAGTTTTGCCGACGCTGCAGTTATTTCCTGTTGCAGAGTAATTAACATTTACGCAAACAGCAGTCCGTAACTTGCAAGAGCAACGAGGAAAAACAGCTGCAGACGATAGCAGAACTGTGCCCATAATTATGAAAAGTAGTATCAGTATGTCTTGTTCCAAGACAAATATCTACTAAAAAACGACAACCTAGATGTTTTGTTCAAGATATTTTGGGATTTTCCCTCAAGCTTTCAGTTACAAAATGTGTATATCCCATTTATCATTTAGAGATATGAAAAAAATACTTATGAGGACTTTAACCGACACAACGTTTTATTTCACAATAAGAAACAAGTGAATTGTTTACAATACATCTTGTGATTTATAACTTTTGCTTTGTAACAATTATAATGCTTTTCATAGAAAAAGTTTTTAGAATCCTCTTGAATAACTCTTCAAATGTCCTTTTAAAAAGAATAGTTTTCTTCCCAGAGTAAAAATATAAAAAAAACTACTAAAATTAAACATTGTATTTTTATACAGAATTCAAAATATATGCAACCTCGTTTCAATAGCTGTTCTAGATTGATTTAAATGTCATTTATTTTTATAAAATAATACATCTATATGATAGCATAATTCATAAACTTTTAAGGATAATTCCCTTAAATGCAAATCATTTTTCCAAATTAATTATAAAAACATTGTCTCAATTGATGTAATCTTCGAGATAATCTTGTTATATCATCCAAACAAGCGCGTCTGTTGCGCAATATGCATTATGCATATTCTCCCTCTTTCTCTTTCGAGTGGCAATATTAGCAGACTCAATTATATTCGTTAACACAAAGAAGATGACCGATGCAATAAATATGATTACGAAAGCAAACCTTCGGTTTTTTATGCGACCAAAATAGAGGCGGGATGCTCAGAATTCATATAACCGTTTCTCTGGCATTATTACTATACAACTACATGGAACTATATTCGGTGTGTGTATATGTGAGTTTTTTATTATGTACCTTTCATTATTTTTTATATCAGCATCTCGTTTAATTATATTTATATTTCTTTTTTTAAGTGCTTAAACGTTCTTAACATTATTATGTATTATAGTGATATTTTAATTTTTTCTGCCAGATCTTGAAAAACAAATTTGAAAAGCTATCGCGTAAATAACTATTACTATTATTATATAAAATATTGATTTACTATTTTTGAAAATTGTAATCTGAATTAGATATGTATTTTTAGACAATGAGATTTTGCGTCACAAAATTAATAACGCCGTGTGGCGCATTTATCAGAAAGTCCCCCCCGATCGATGAGTACTTTGCAGGCGGATTTTGTTAATCCTTCGTTATCGCAGAAATTGAACGAATGATGAAATATGGCGGAACGGAGCATCTGTGACTTGCATCATCTTCAGGAAGCGTATATATACCATTATTAATATAACACGAGTGCGTATAATCGGTTGGAGAGTAGTACGCGTGGCCGTTGCGGGTTGTCTATCAAAATGAAGTTTATTGACCGAAATAGTCGCTACGGTCGATCAACGTGGCTCTTCCTGGTCAGATGCTTGCGGATGATGAAGCAAGACATTGATACTAGGCACGTGTATGATGCAAAACGTACGAGTTTTCGCAAGTATAATTCTTCTCAAGTATACACACGCGAAATAATTACTTCACGGAATTATTTTAATGTGCAATTAAATTTCTAAGATATATTAAAAACATTTTGTCTTTCCAGACCTTGGTTGTTCTTGTAGTAAATCTTTCAATTCTCGATGAACTTCGTTAGAAGGCGCAGTATCATCATGACGATTTACACGCGAGCAACGCATGTGTCAAAGATCGAAGAAGTTGGAACGTAACGATGAGATCGCTATATAATTCATACAAATTGATGTGAAACGTCATCCCGACCTGTGAACGCTGTTTCTCGCCGTCGTTGGAAATTGTTTGCGCTGCTACTAAGTAATTATGTTTTCTGACACGACTGGTTCTCGGTAAATTCCGTTGAAATTTTCATCCTTCATCGCGTTAAAAGTTTAACGCGAAGTTATAATCAACAAGATCACTTAAATCTGCTTGGACGTAATTTTTTATTGGTATACATATATAGAGCGGTCTCGACGGTATTATTACATATTTATTACCTTAGTTGTTATCACATTAACGGAATTAACGCTGTGGTTTTTTTCATTAAAAATATTAATAGTTGAGATAGTATTAAAACTGTAAAAAGCAACATTAATTTTTTATGCAATATAAATTATAAATAATGTTTTTATACAGTTCTAAATATGAGAGAAACTTGATGAAACTAATAATAGTCAATTAGTGGGCTCGTTCTGTTTCGTCTCGATTATTCTTTGGCCGACATATTAATGTCACAAGTTTCGAGAACTCCAGGCCGCAATGAATATGGAACAGCAACAGGAAATTTAGATTTAACAATAAAAATATCTTTTTACTGAAATTATATCACATAACTCATTTATAATCGCGAAGCATAATTATATATAGTTATAGTATAATATATAGTTATGTAGAAAAATATCGAAAAAAGGGAGCTTAGTTTCCTCTTATTTTTCTCTTTTACCTTGAACTTATGTTCAACCGGTGTTTCAGCGAATCGCTTAAAAGTTGTAACGCAAAACACGTGCAAAGATCGAAACTACATTCATAGTTGATTTATCGATCAGCATGCAAATAATATGATATCCCAGTAGCGTTTAATATGAATCATACATAGGAAACTCTCTTCGAGCCAGCTTATTTCCATATCGACACTCTGATATATGCTATTGTTATTAATTATCTGTCATATTTTATTCAGCTACCGAAAATTATTCATTCTTTATTACTCAATTAAATTTTAATTTTTAATATTCAATCTTAATGTCTATGCATGACATACTTACATACTTTTTCTTTTTTACAATTATCATAAGTTTTACGATTTATTAATTTGCTAATTTTATAAGATTATTGATGGCATATTGCTTTTTATAATTGGAATTGTTTACTTATTCCTATATTTTTGTGATATTTTCAAATAAGATCCTAAACGTGTTGGTACTTATTTTTATCAAGAAATGCAATTTTATTATTCCTTTTTATTATTCATCTCTTTTTTCATTGTCAATTTTTTTAATTTCTTTTTTCCTGTTTTGTTCTCAGAGAGCTTATATTCTAGGATTCGAAAACGAGATTGCTACTCTCTCCGGGAAATTCGGTGGACAGGATCTAACTCAGTTAGTCACTTTATCCGGCCTTTTTCCTCGGGTTTCCCGGTAACGTTTGCCACGCCGGGTGTGCGATAAAGTGCTCCGTTACATGTACATACCCAAGCGAGGGAATATCCGTGAAACTCCGTGGAGGGGACGGTAGCGTGACGAGGTAGCGGGAGAACGGTCTCTATAAAAGCCGCGCGCACGAGGCTTGCGAGGTCATACGCTGCAGTCAGAACTTCGTGAAAAGGAAACAGCTGAGACAGTTCGAGTCGTACGAAGGAACGTTACGCGAGTGTTGCACCAGTTTGCGTCAGCGCGAAGTTCAGTGAGAGCGGAGAAAAGAAACCGCGTGAAGCGAGTGATTCAAGTGACCGGCGAAAGGGCAGCTGCAAAGTCGGTCGATACAGCGTTGAAAATTCATCCTACGGGAATTCCCACGTTCAGTGAAGTGTGCAAGAGAGGCGCATTCAGGATTAATCCGCCGAACGAGGAAGCAGACATACTGACCGATATGACTCGTTGCCAGAAGCCACAATCCTACCACGAACAGACCACGATGGCCGACAGGTAGCTATTTGCAACAAAAAAAAACAGTACTCGATGGCACGGGATTTCCACGTGGCTCACACGCAACACTCGAATGAGGAGTAGCATGATAGCCGTGGTTCTCTGAACAGTGATAAAGATATGCTTGGTCACGACGAGGTAATTTCGATTTATCTCCGATCTCTCTCTACATTTGTTTGTCCCGATGAGAAATTGTAGTTCCACATTGTGCAATATATAATATCTTAGCTTGCACATTTCCGTATCTTTCGTATCGCGAAGAAATTTATTTTATCGAAGATAAAATTCTTAGAAATACATATCTCGCGTTTCTTATCTTTTGACGTTGACAGAAATCACTATCTGACGCAATCCGAAACTTGCAGAAGAATTGATCTTGAAATTTTTTTTTTTTTTTATATCCTTGGTATCGTGTAAAAATTGACTTGGCAATTGCCGAGACAATTCACAAAAATATCTTGAGGTAAATGCTTCTACGTCTTCCGCGTACAAGCGTATAATTAATGCGTCAGAGCAATTTATGAAACTCGTTGTGGCAATTCCAAGTATCGCTCTATACACTGCCGCGCGCCGGCTTACATAATAAAACCGAATGCGCAAATGATTGACCGAGGATGACTTACAGTGGGAAAACGTCGTGGTGCGAGGAGTCTCGCTGCTACGGAAGCACCGTCACGTGCGGCATGCTGCCGACCCTCCGCGAGCTGGCCTCCAGAGGATGCAACAGCCGGGGTACCGTTTGCCTGGTGCCCGTCGACGTCGAGATGGACGCGGCCAGTCACCTTCAGATGACACTGCTCGAGGCTTACTGCCGGGAGATCGGGATCGAGGTGCTGAGCGTGTCCAAGGAGACGATACGGCTGCACCTGTGCCCAGGAAGCACGGATCTGTCGTGCGTCCTGATAAGCAACAACAAAAATTCATTTTTTCCAAAGCTGCCGAAGTGAAACTCGAAGACACATCCTTGAGAGCTGAAACTAACCGGACCGGATTACACGCGGTCCTTCACAAGCCGAAGCCCACTTTGCCGAGGTCCCTGCGTCGGGGGGAGGTTCTCCACGCGAAGGATGAGGAAGAGTCTTGACTCTGCAAGCAATGTGTCCTGTGTGTCTCACTCTAGCGAGGCTGCTGATAATGGACATTTCATATCGAAAATATATGTATAAGCGAGATATATTCCATCGATCTCGCTAAATTGTCTGTAAATGTTAGCTGTTTAAAAACACTTTTTGTAACTTTCTTTCGATTCTTCTCGTATAAGTACATATACGTATTTTTACTTGAATGCAGAAAGTGTGAAACGGCAGCTGAGAAGAACAGAGATCTGTTATCTGTTAAAGCAAAGATTATGATCGAACGAGAGGTGTCTCTCTCTCGGAAAATCATTTACTCGATGATTGTAGAATATGAAATATTAATTAGCGTATGTAACATGTATATCTATCAATTGTATACGTTTGCCGTGAGATAAAGATAATCTTATGTTATATATGCTTTGTAAACATCAACAGTTGAAATGTATCGAAGAACGATGTAAATGTATAATATAATATTGATAATCTATTAAATGATGTAAGAACACACACTCATTGATTTTCCGTACCTGTCCTTTACATCTCACTCTATCTCTATCTATACGAAATCGATAATAGCGTGCTCGTTTAATTCATTAAAACTCTTCTCGTAGCTTGCGAAATATTTACGGAACTCCAATATTACTTCCATGGACGAATTAAGAATCCTGAACATGACGTAAGTAGGTACACATTCGAGGATAAAACGTGCAGTTACACGGATAAATATGAAATGCATGGCGTCTCAAATGATTACAAAATATTTTGGAATATAGTTATCCTCTCCCTCTCTCTCTCTCTCTCTCTCTCTTGCTGATAAATAAATTAAAATATTTACTACGAGGCAACTACAAATAAATATACTTTATGTGAGGAATATCCTTTGTGCTCAGTCGCTGTTTCACTGTATGTTGTTTCCTTTAACAGACCAACGGCCGAAGTTACTTTTTATTTTTTCGCGAATTCCGACGACGGGGATAAAATTCGCGAATCTTTAAATCGACTCGTACAGCGCCGGCGTCTCAGCGAAATTGCGTTGGAATCCACGCATTTTACCTTCCAGCAAAAACCCTTGCTTAAGCTGCAGGTAAATTATTGCAATTTATATAAATGTATAGATTGCATATTTGAATATCGTCGTATAAGTAAAATAGAATTGTATACGCAAAACATTAATTATTTGAGATTTAGATTATTCTCCACCCTTTTTCTATTTCTTCTAAAGAAGTTAGAGATTTAAATTAAAATTAAAACACAGTTAAAATTTATTTAATAAAATTAACGTTTTTGTGCGATTAATTGCTGCATAATTGAAAAATGTTAAAAATTATCGCGTTTTAGAGACTGCGTATTAATCAAGTGAATGATTATGAAGTTCACCTGGGAGAGCAAATCGTTTTGCCGTGTACTGCACATGGAAGCTCCATTATACGTTTCACTTGGTATAAAGACAGCATGTTGGTGAACACAAGTAAAGCTATCAGGTAACCGAACTATTGACAGCTCGTAATTTACAATATCGCAAAAATAATTAATTAATTAAACTAGTAATGTTAAAATATATTTCTGGTGAAAAATTCTCATATCTCACATAAAATACTTTTAAGAATTTTTCATATTTCAAATTATAAAAATTTCTAAAAAATATTTTAACTTCTTTTGAACTTCAGATTTTCTAAGATTGAATGAAAAATTTTAGAGAATATTTCGGAATTCACGTATATAAAAAATTTTTAAAAAGATATAGGCTTTTTCAACATTCATGAAAAGTTTCATTTTGTTTAAAAAAATTGAAGACTTTTAAAAAGTTATAAAATTCTACAAAAATTATGAAAATTATATAGAAATTCTGAAGAATTCTAAGAAAAATTTTCATCAGGAATAATTTGTATAAAAAATGTGAAAAGAGCCAATATAAATCGACACAGGGTGTGTGTTTAAATAAAATATATATTGATCAAAACGATACAATTTAGACACACTTACACTTTTGTGTCGGCTTATATTGGCTTTTTTCATATTTTTTATTTATATCATTTAAGCCTGAATTTATATTGAATAATTTTACTTCATTTTTTAACAAGATTTTCTCGGCTTCTCGATATTCCAATCACTTTGCTGTTTTAGAGAAATTTCTATTAACCATTTGCCGAACGACGGATCGGATGTATATACATCTATATTGACGATTGAGAAGGCGACTCTGCTCGATGCCGGTCAGTACACGTGTCGAGTAATTGATGGTATGGATAGTTGGGGTGTGCAGCAATGCAAAAGTATCTACGTCGAGGTCAGGGATGAGCCGGACGTGAAGGTGATGCCGATGAGCGCCAGTGTAGAAAAAGTAAGTCGCAACACATAGATTCGTTCAATCCGCCAATAATTATGAATTTGAAAAAAAAAGACACAATATTATCACGATTATTCGCAGGGCAACAATATACAGCTGACATGTATGACTCCCAACATGCGTAACATTGGGATTGGCTTCGGCTGGACGAAGAATCGCGCCTTACTCAAGTTGGAGCCCGGTCAAGCGGTTTGGGAGGATCTGTATCCAGCGGGTAGCATTCTAAAGATCACTAATATTCAGGTAAAAGCGCTGTGCACATTGATTTCGATTAAGAGTACCGGAATTCAACATAGTCTGTCACCTTTCTATTAAAATTAACTTGCTGATAAAACTAAGGAATATCAAAGAAAATTTATATTATTTTAGTAAGTAAATTCGACAATTAATGATCTATCCTAATACAAAGTGATTCGTTTGGCATTTCAGAAATCTGCGATTTACACCTGCAACGTAGCGCACAAGTCTATGTCCGTGCGAGTTGAAGTCATGAATCGAACGTTAATACCGATATGCTTTAAAGAGAACTCCTGGGGTTTGCAATGGCCAGACACCGCACCCGGATCGGAGGCCTTGTTAGAATGTCCCCGGTATTTCGTAGGTCGACGAGTGTCCAGGCTCTGCTCGATGAAGGACGCTACCACGCCCGAATGGCAAATACCGGATTTTTCATCCTGCTTATACGAACCATTGATTTTACCGTATAATAATGTGAGTATCTCTTTCTCGCGCGTATAAAAGTTGAAAAGCATAGCAAAAGTTTTTAATATTTAATATTATCTTTTTATTACTAAAATTAAATTTTAATATTTATTATTCAATATGTGATAGAAATTTAAAAATAGTATATGATTTGATAAGATAAAACGAAATTAGTAAAATTTGATAAAAGATAAAAGAGAAATTAGTAAAAATGTTAGCTTCGTTCATGAACAAAGTTGACTAAAACGTTAATTGATTATGGCTAATCCAAATTTGTTGTATCGAAGCAGTAATATTGTGAAATTGATCTAATTTGCAGTTTCAAAGTCTGACATTGGGTTATCAAAAAACTACAAGTTCGGACACGATCCTCGCCTTTTGGGAGATCTTGCGCAAACGTGCATTGCCGCTCTATCCTGGCGAAGGTGATCGTATAACGTGTATGTTGGCAGAAATCGAACGATATCAGCACAGTACCGATCCAGAGGATGCAAGCACCTCCGCGCAGGCTTTGATTCGCATAATAAATCGCATACTGAGCGACGGATACTCGATCTTGGCTCAACAGGTATAGCCAATTTAGATTTAATTCCTATACTGTAGGAATTATCGAGTTTTTTATCACAATATAGGAATAAAATATTTTAATTTTCAATTAGATTCAAATAACAATATTTTTCAGCTCAAACATAAAGCTGTCATTGTGCTAACTATGGAGTAACCTATACATTGTTTATCCATAACATAGCCTTGTTAAAAAAATAACAGTTATTTATCCAGAAAATGAGAAATATTGTTATTTAAATCTGTTTCATATCTAAAACTACTCTTCCCGTCTCTTATCGCTAAGTTAAATTACAAGCCTCTAAATTTATTTTTAGAAACTATCGGTGTTGCTTCAGCTTACACAACGCAATTTAATCCACTGGTCCAAACAGCAGAAAGATGAACATGGTTATGCACATGAACATCTGCCTCTATCGTCTATGGTTGTAGATATGCAGCAATTACAATCTCAGAGTGGAGACAGTATAACACATTTTCTTCAAATGCCTTCGTCCATTGATATGTAATTATTTTTATATAATATCTGTTACATATATTATGTAACAGATATTATAGATATCAGATCTTGTCTTTTCGTAGAGATCTCTCGAAATAATATATTTTTCTATCTATACGCGTTTAAAATTATGTCTAAAACCAACTTTTTTCACATTTTTATACGATTACTTATTCATGGCAGGTATCCTGATTGGTACGAGGACAAAGTAGCTATACGTCTATGGAAAAAGAAGCAGCGCAATGTAAAGTCTAATAACACATATACCGGAATCGTTATCGTCTACAAAAACTTGTCGCGCTTCATTCCGTCAACGTACGTTATGGAACTCGAGTAAGTTAATTTATTTAGAAAAAATTGAACAAGAGGCAAGAACAAGCTCACCTCTTTTTTATAAATCCGAAAAATTTATTTAAAAGTCATTAAAGCTGAAACCAATAAATTAGACATATAAAAACTATAAAAAGAGAAATAAAAATAAAATAAAATTTTCTTAATTGTAAGAAAGAGATTAATTTACTCAATCAATTTGTTAAAATGCATAAATTGAAATATTGACAATCTTGTTACCATAGTGATGGCACAGATCTGGAATTTCGCATCAATTCTCGAGTGATCACCGTCGCGGTGCCCTCCTTTGGCGCCGATAAAAATAACAAGATATGGGTTGACCTGCAAATCCGGCATTTCCAAAATCAAACGAGCTCCTGGAATACGTCGTGCGTCTTGATGGAAATCGCCGGATCGTTTGATTTCGATGCTTGCATTACAAATACGGTATCTGGCGATGGGGTAACGCATTGTTTGTGCCCTACTACGGGGACAGTCGCTGTTTTCTTGACAGCCCGTGCAGTAAGGGTAAATAAAACTTCAATTACAAAGTTTCACGTTATTTTATCATTTATGGAATGCACATATCAGAATTTTTATGATTAAAGAGTTTACCTACATATTTTCTATAAGAACGTATTTTATGGTTGTGCATCAATTTCTGGAATGTTACAGGTAGTATTGGCGAAAACAGAAGCAACCGCGTTCATTATAATATTAGGATGCAGCAGTTGTCTTGTTCAGTGCTTACTGTCTGCTCTGATATTAGGCGCTTTTTGGAGGAAGCACAAAAGCTGGCTGAATTTTCTAAAACTCCAATGCTGCGGCGCATTGATAGGCGCAATGGCCCTCTTCATTTACGCCGTCCACATTGATCTTCCAGAGGTAATCAAGCCTTCGTACAAATATTTAGAACGTTAACTCTGTGATTTAAGTCTATTTTAAATATAATGTTCCAACGTGAAGTAAACATTACAAATTAAAAAGTTGTTATATATATGTATATATAAATGTCAAACTTGATGCGGGTTCCATTTCGAATTGCATATTTGAGGGTCTTATGAATTATATATCTGGTCCAATTTTCAACATCCTCATTCTTCTCTGTTTTAGTCATCTTACTCGCTCGTGGAGACAGGATTAGAGGCGTTTCTCCTCGTGGGCATGTCCGCGCCTATTTCCGAGGTTCTAATAGTATATGCCGAGCTCACACAAACTCGACCGAGCCAACATCTTCAGCCGACACTGATCGCCGTAATAACTGGTAATCAATTTAGATCTAAACGATTTTACGAAATCCGTATCGTCAAATTCACTTGTAATCGCATGTTTCTCAGGTGTCCCGATTCTGGCTGTATTTGCAACCGAACTAACGCATCAAACTACCGGAATACAACACGAATCTTGGTGGCTTATATATGGCAGCGACGTTTATAACATATTTGTCAGCTGCGCCACGACAATGTTTTTCGTATTCATAATCCTGTATATAGGAGTGCTTCACAAAGTCCGCTCATTAGTGAAGGAGAACGTGATGAAGAGAGAGGCTGTAGAAGCGAGGTAGATGCACCATAAATTGTTTCGTAAGATTTGATAACTCTTTCACAAATCATTCGTTTTTTTTTTTCGTCGCAGAATACGAATACTGCACCGCGCGGCTATCATCATATGCGGCATGGTCACCATGGAGGCATCCTCTATTTTCTATATAAATTCGTCATCCGAAATTTTCCACTACATATTCGGGTCCCTGTCTTTCGCTCTGGTGAGTTTCCTCGCAAACGATAATTGTATTGATCAAATAATAAATAATATATTAAAATTATTCGCTAATTATTGATGCGCAGGGGTTCAGTATAATAATCGTATACATCATCAATGGCGAGTGTACAGTTATTGGACCAATATTACGGAGAATCAGGTGGAAACGCAATGTGGACGAGGAACACACGTCCGAACCCATTAAAGGTAATGTGAACTTGACGTACATTTTTACGTTTTTTTTTTGTGCTAAACTATTAGAAAAGCGCTAAAGTTTGATTAAAAAAAAGTATTTAATAAATTTATGCTATGTTCGTTAGTGTGCTCGAAAACTGACGCAGAAGTGGAAAACGATTCAGCGATTCCGCCGGCGTCGTGCTCGATCGCCGGCGAGCCGTATCGGGAGGCACGAGGCGTCGCCGCGGGTAGCATAGACATGCGCGAATTTGTGTCCGAGTCTTCGTCCACCTACGCCAAGTCGTCCGTCCCCGCGACCAGTAGATTCCTGCCGGAGATCCGGATAGACCATTCGGACAATATCGATCTCGAGAATTACAGCACGAGTCCGCGCAAGTACCAGGAGCCGCCGGTGTTCGTCGACCCGGCGTATCCCGCGCGCGGCTCCCGCTGCGTCAACGAGGTGATGGCCTACAGTGTTAACGAACGCGGCAGCTTCCGCGTCGGCGACGCGGCGGGCAAGTATCGCGGCGACGGTAAGACCTTCCCGCCGGTGGCGAGCGCGTCCCCCGAGTCGTCGGCCAAGGTCCTCTGCAGCGCCGACGTGGAGTCGCGATTGGGCGCGATGCCGGACGTCACGTTGGCCGTGAAGAGCGACGTCGAGCTGTCGTCGCGAACGAGCGCGGAGAGCCGGGAGCACGTGGTGAGCGCCATGCCGGACATCGCCAACACGAGCGAGCGCAAGCAGCCCGACGGCGAGGAGAAGACGCCGGAGATCGTGGTGACGACAGGCGGCTGCGACAGCGCGACCAGCGGTATGCTAGACCGCATCTCTCACGATCTTGACTATCTGCTTAATCGCACGCACGCCAAAGAGGGAGCTTGAAATCTATCAAGATCGCGAGAAAGTATACATGCGACAAATGTAGGTTGTTAAATTTGTACAAAACGAATTTCGCCACAAGTTTCCACATAAATCATAAGTGAATCGCAGGTCATCGCATTTCATGTATCATAGTTTATCTAGGATAATATTCGTCGCTATTGCGTTTTATTCGCTGTGTAACGGGGACTCGACGTGAGAACGCGATACGATCGTATATGGGAGCTGCAAACCAAAGTCTAAAAAGAGTACACATATATAATCCCTTCTTATTTCTTATACACTCGCATATCTGCACCAGAATGCTAAATCATTTGTAATCTGATCGCTGATCATGAATCGGCAAGAGTCGTAAAAGGAAAGTCGATGCGACAAGTGATTCTTCATCGTACTCCATCCATCAGAATTTGCTTTAAATATAATCTCGAAATTTTCTCTATTATAGACATTTATATTCACGTCCATTATATATCGTGAGGGAACCTTATTGCCCCTCGTAATAAAAGAATAGAAACTAAAAAAAATGTACTGCGTAAGAATTCGATTTATGATGTAAGATTATATAGATTTTCAGAAGGTGAGAGTACTCAACTGATAGCGTTTTCCGAGTTAAAGTATTTATTTATCACTGTCGTACAGCCCTTTCATAATATCCACGAGTCAGTCGTCGCGCTTTTTTTTCGTCGTTTATAATTTGTATTATAAAGCTATACACATTCAATTTAGTTTGATAATCTACTTACATACTTAAGATCGAAGTTTATGTTGTTGTAGGTAATAGGTACCTCTCTAGTAGGGTTAGTCGTTTACTTAATGAGAAATGCTTCACTGAAATCGATTCGACCGAGGTATGAAATTGGAGCGGTATTTCTCTTGGCCAAGCACGTGTTATAAATGCAAAAGACGTAATAAGATCTGTGTTAGTCTGTTAGCACTCGAATATACCTATATGACTAGTTTTCTGTGTCAACAGATTTTTTTTTTTCTTAAAAATATAAAATATTTACAAGGATTTTCAGCTAATTTTATCGAGATTTAATCTTGATTCAATCACATCAATAATACCCAAGTATAGAGTAGGGCCGTGGCTTTGTCCGATTACTACCAAATTACGCTATTGAGCCAGTATTACATTCGCAATCTTGCCTACAGAACTAAAAAGTAAAATGAACAAGCATGCTACTGTACTTTCTCTCACGAATATTTTTTATATTCGCTTACTTTTAAACAGACTTTACAATAGGCTGAGTATTTTGGCGAAAGTAATAAGAGTGGTGAGAGATCGAAAGATTTGTCCGAAAGAAAAACCAATACAATCCATACAATATTAATGGATTTTATAATAGCTGTACAATGAAGAGATAGTCTTTTTTTTTACGCATGATTGAATTAATTCTTGTCGATTTGTACGCACGAAATAAACTTTATGGTACACATTGTCATGACGAAAAAGCACGATATACAATTTCGGCGCGTGTTTAATTTCCATCTTTTTATAATTCTAAGGGACATTATGAGAAACATGATACGTAACGAACTCTCGTAACGGTATCCCGATTAGGTAGATTACGACAGGTAAGTATCAAATTGTACGTAGCTTCGTATAAATATGAATCAATATTCAGCAGACCTCTAACTATCCTCTTAATTATACAATCACAAGTATTTGGTCTTTTTACATTAGATTTATACATTTGTCGCATACCTATATAACGATATAACAGGCGAGACCTGTAATAACGTAAAAAAAACTCTAGAATATAGAGGGCCAACGAAATTTGACAACGGAAGTATTACCTTGATAGCCTAAATACAAAAGTAAATATACTAAGCAGTTCCTAATTTGCAGTCGTATTCAGCTTAGAGGTGTAGCCACGGCACCCTCCCATCTTTACTTCACATTTCCTCTTCTTTCTGTTTTTTTTGTTTTTTGTTTTTTTTTTTTACTTAAATATAAAAATACATAGCCAGTCTATACATAAAGCGTGCAAAGTGGCACAGTGAAAATTATCAGATGTCCTGGATGGTTAACTACCGCTCTCGCTGATTGTCGGCGGTTCCGCAGCATCGTGAAGTTTACTCGTTTTGTTACTTGACACAGGTATACCTGAGGTTTTTGGCAGCAGGTTAGTTGCATTATCACTATTGGATGTTGTGGCGTTGCACACGGAATTGTCAAAGTGTTGCAAACATGGAAATTCCGAACCAGGCAGCAATAAAGTAGTTTGAGTAGGAAGATTAGTTAATGACACCATCCCCGGCGTCACTATTTGCTTGTTGAAGTATCTCCTCAATGCCTCTTCAATTAAATTGGCTATTTTATCACGGTCGTTCTGCAACAGTCGTAAAACGTATAAGGTAAAACTAAACTCTCGACAAATCGCGACCGCTCGTTGGCGATATGCGCGAGAGATATAATAATTTACCTCATTAATAAATCCAAAATGTACAAGTTCCTGCGCGAGAAGCATCGAGGTATCCATTTGGCTCACAGGACACGTCAATTGTCTATTCATTTTGTCATCCATTCGCAACAATATTGTCATCTGCACAAAATAATAAAAAATCGATTTGAGATACAAACAGTCATTTCATAGGCTGTCGGCACTAAAAATACTCTAAATGCCACTCACAAGTAATTCACTACTATCTTCTCTAGGCTTAACATTACACATCATATTAACTACTCTTCGAGACTCCACGTCCACCGGCTCGGGTGTTACCGACTTAACTGATTCTGTCACTTCGGGCGATATCGCCCTCGGTCGGACAGGCGGGGGTAATTTCGCCATAAATGCAGTCAATGGATATATTCCGTACCTGACAACGTAAAATCACTCTCGTTACCAACTGATATAAGACACAAAGTCCAGGCCAATGTATCTCACGACTGAGATACTCACTTTACATCTTCAACAAATTTTTCTAATTTCTCCGTAACGGGAATATCACTTAAGCGAATTTGTTGCGGCGGTATTCCTTGATACTTTACTTCGGCGACTATAGTGTCTGGTCCATATAGCCTTTGCAACACTTCGTCTGTGATTGTTTCCGAAATGTTAGCTGTAAAAAAAAATCAATGTTATGTGCGATTTATAATCGTAACCATTATAAGTCCACTCAAGTCATAATCGTAATTATTTCATCTATTGTAAAATGATAAATTAATAATAAAATATAAAATACCATAGCATACAGCATAAATATAAATTATACACTTTGCTTCTTAACTTACTAGCTGAATTGACCAAGGCGTGTGCTGCGAGCAACTTGAGAGAATGTACTTCAAACAGAAGGGGATGAAATAGCAACTCTCTCGCACTCGGTCTACTAAGCGGGTCCACCTGAAGACATTTATGAATGAAATCTTTTTGTTGAACATCGTCTAAAGATTCTATTGTCTTCCGGATGTTCTCTTCGGTAACAATTGTACCCGTATCACCGTTTCCCTGAATTTCCAGCGCGGCCATCTCCAAAGCACACATCCCGAACGAGTAAATATCAATGGCAGGTGTGACGGAATCTGAGAAAATGACAAATAATTTAAATACAATCCAAATGTGAGCTATGCGCACGTGCACAAAACATTGTACTTACTTCCATATTCTGGGGCCACAAAATGCATATTCTTCATGTTTGTTCTACAAGTCTTGATGTGATGATGAATTGCATCTGGGGCTACTATAAGAAAGAGATTATTGCCATTTTCACAAGCTGTTCCATACCAAGGAAAGCGGCAACATAAAAATGATATTAATGTGTATTCGACAATGTGTTAGACTTTGTTTATAGAGCAGCCACCAAACAGAATTATGTAGACGTAACATATGTAGACAAAATGTTCCAAATATGTTTCAACAGACAATAGACGATAGACATCAATACGCTTTTAGATACATATTTTACTATACATATTCCGTGTGTTTGCTGCCAAGATGAATGACTAAAACCTCTTTAGAAAAATTGTGTTTCAACTGACAATTTTATCCTAAAAGTAACTTGAGCCCTCGTACAATTAATAGTTTTCGCATGTACAAATGTAAAAGTGTCTCTGAAAAGAGAAGCATGTTTCTTGGAAGATACAGATGTACTAATAAAAACGTAAATTATTTAAAAAAAATAATAACCACATATTTCTCTGTCGATTGCACAGTTCTGCTAGAACGAGCCACTTTTGTTGATTCAGAATAAATATAAATTTGGGAAATAAGATTCTCTTTAAACAAGAATTACGGAGCATGAACAAAAAAAGCAATGTAAATATTAAAATACAATGAAAATGCGTGCGCCAGGTGATTGTGAGAAAGACAAAGAGACACATGAGACACTTTGCCCTCCTTTAGTTAAATACAATTAAGAATCAGAACGAGATAAAATATAGTGCAACATAGTGGCACTAACATAATAAAAATAAATTTTAATTATTTGTACATTTAATGGAGCTACTAAATAATTAGTATAGAAGTGGTTTACCTCTCTATGCCTAATTTACTTAGCTGGCAATAGCTGATGACAATCTGCCAAATGATTTTTTCTTGAAATTCATCACCTTTGACAATAACACACCAATGACGACACCGACGTTGGTCAATTTATCCTCTGGACGGGTGAAAGTACGATTCGTACTTCCTCTCTCTTCAAAGGCTTTGCTGTGTTTTTTTCATTATCTAGATTAGCCTATTTGCTACAATTAAAAATGAGGACTCAAGTTACTCCTAATATGAAAAGGCAATTTAACACAATCTTTCTAATGGACTCATGTTACTAACATTATATAGAATTACAGGGAAACGCGCGTGTTATAATAGAGTAATAATAATATGTACACAAATAATTCTCTAAACAACCATTTAAACTAAATATAAGTTGGTATACTGTGTATTCCTATATAATCATTCCTATGTAATCGCAATCAATTCGATTCTTAACATACATGTATTCACACATTCACACATATTATATTAAAGGATGTTATTTACGCTAAAAAAAAGATTCAACTATTTAACAAATGATTAGTAAATATCACGTTCGATGTATGTATCCCTGTTAAATATACATTGTAATAATATTGTTTTAAAATCTTCATTTTCAGTTTGATGATGTACTGTCTTACAATTATAATTATTTATAACAAATAATTCTTTTGTAAGACATAAATGTGTGAGCATACGTATATAAATATATTTATATAAATAATATATCCGTGATGTTTGTGTGCCAAAACCACTAGAGAGCTTATATTGACGCACACTGATGAATCATATTACTTGTCATGTTGTATGTTCAATCAGGAACTGAGTCATATAATTATTATTTATCTTGGCTAAATAATGAGTAAATAAAAAGCACATAATACAATTCTGAAAACACCTACTTCACTTGTACCTTCGTACGAAAATTGTATGGATGCTTAAAAAAAAAAAGATTCGACACTTAGAAAACATATGATAAATCACTAAATGAACAAAAAATATTGACATAGATTATTTTTCTTGCTCATTTTAGTGAATAATATATACCCTCT